CGGTTTAGGTGCATCCTAGAGACCTGTCCTTGGTTAGCAGTCTTTTGTGTTTTTGGTTAGGCTCCTGGCCCAAAGACATGCTCTGTGTGGAAAAGCTCAACCGGTCTTTTTGAAAAAGATATGCCAGCACCACCCCCCCAACAACTGTTCTTCCCAAATCCCAAGTACGGTCCAAAATATGCAATTGTTGGGGGTGCGCTGGTGTCCCGGTGCGCCTGTTGTTTTTCAGGGTCTTGCTTGTTTAGCCTAAAGGAAACAACCCAACCCAGAGACCCATTGAGTTTTTGTCCCAAGCACTTTGGCCGAAAGGAACCCTCCTGGCCACTCAGATGAGGGCTGTAGGTGTTCTGCAGGCAGAATTCGGAATAGCAGGCGGCCAAAGGAGAATTCACCATGCACAAGAAGGGATGGATATGTCGTCTTTTGAGGGTAGCCCCTTGTGTGGTTGGACGACAAGAAGACGTGTACCCAAATGGTTTGGTTGACGGTTCCCTTAGCGGGATGTCTTGCAAAAAGAGTTTGAGCACTTTTCATGGGTGTGTGTGTGTGTGTTTTTGGCGGTACCCTTTTTGGTGGTTTGAGAGGGAATTCAAAGGGCAAAACAGCATTTTGGGGGGTCCCCGAAAGACCCATGTGAAAGCTATCCATAATGTGGGCACAGACAGCGGCATTGTAGCAAAGTGTTTGTTTGCGTCACGCATGGTTGCCATTGTTTGTGTGTGTGTGTGAGTGTGTGTGATTGTGAGTGTGTGTGTGTGTGATTGTGTGTGTGTGATTGTGTGTGTGTGTGATTGTGTGTGTGTGATTGTGTGTGTGTGTGATTGTGTGTGTGTGATTGTGTGTGTGTGTGTGATTGTGTGTGTGTGTGTGATTGTGTGTGTGTGTGATTGTGTGTGTGTGTGTGATTGTGTGTGTGTGATTGTGTGTGTGATTGTGTGTGTGATTGTGTGTGTGTGTCTGTGTGTGTGTGTATGTGTGTATGTGTGTATGTGTGTATGTGTGTATGTGTGTATGTGTGTATGTGTGTATGTGTGTATGTGTGTATGTGTGTATGTGTGTATGTGTGTATGTGTGTATGTGTGTATGTGTGTATGTGTGTATGTGTGTATGTGTGTATGTGTGTATGTGTATGTGTGTATGTGTATGTGTATGTGTATGTGTGTATGTGTGTATGTGTGTATGTGTATGTGTATGTATGTGTATGTGTGTGTGTATGTGTGTATGTGTGTGTGTGTGTGTGTGTGTGTGTGTGTGTGTGTGTGTGTGTGTGTGTGTGTGTGTGTGTGTGTGTGTGTGTGTGTGTGTGTGTGTGTGTGTGTGTGTGTGTGTGTGTGTGTGTGTGTGTGTGTGTGTGTGTGTGTGTGTGTGTGTGTGTGTGTGTGTGTGTGTGTGTGATTGTGTGTGATTGTGTGTGTGTGATTGTGTGTGTGTGGTTGTGTGTGTGTGATTGTGTGTGTGTGTGTGTGTGTGTGTGTGTGTTTGTGTGTGTGTGTGTGTGTGTGTGTGTGTGTGTGTGTGTGTGTGTGTGTGTGTGTGTGTGTGTGTGTGTGTGTGTGTGTGTGTGTGTGTGTGTGTGTGTGTGTGTGTGTGTGTGTGTGTGTGTGTGTGTGTGTGTGTGTGTGTGTGTGTGTTGTGTTTTTTGCGTCATTTCGTCAGTTTCCTTTTCGTCTCCACGTCACCTCGCTCACATCTCGCCGCCAGGTTGAGTTTTACATCTTCGAGGAATTCCCAGAGCCGGGGCTCCTGGAAGACAGGTCCTGCCGTTCGAGTTGCTGTCATTTGCCGGGCATGTATCGTATCCCTGGCTTCAGACTATATAGCTCACAGTTGGTAAGCCGTATGCGTGGGGTTTCTCCACAAGTTGGGATACAGTTTTGGTATCCCGCGTGACATTGGATCGAGCGTTGCCCCAGCCAACATGATTCCTTCCGCTCTCGGAGTCGGAACAACTTTGTCACCAAACGATCTTGCGAGTCGGCAACCGACAGTCTGAGAAGACAAAGAAAATACCGGAGCCTCCCTAAAAGTTGCAGAGGTTTACAATCAACCCATTAAGTTACACACCACCTGTTGGTCTCCCTTAAACCCTCAAAGGGCCCAGGGATCCCAGGGGGTTGTTTAAACATTCTCCCAACGGATGAAAGTGCAAAGAGCTAGGGCTGCGATACGCACAAGATAGCCAGATTGAACAGCGTAAACATAGCGTGCTCGACTTCTCTCCTTGTAGGGGGCCCCAAATTGTGGTTTTCCTTTAAAGCCACCAAAAAGGCGTACCCGAGAAAAGACATCCCCATATTAAGCAGACCTAATGCAAAATCATGTTCATCCACAATGGTTCCTTTCGGGACGTAAGGCGGATTCTGCCGCGCGGGGTCACCCTCATGGAAACCTCCAACTTGACTGGGCTTCAGCTGCCTTCAAATCCTTTCTGTTTGGGTGTGTGCTTGCTTGCTTGCTTGCTTGCTTGCTTGCTTGCTTGCTTGCTTGCTTGCTTGCTTGCTTGCTTGCTTGCTTGCTTGCTTGCTTGCTTGCTTGCTTGCTTGCTTGCTTGCTTGCTTGCTTGCTTGCTTGCTGATTGCTTGCTTGCTTGCTTGCTGCTTGCTTGCTTGCTTGCTTGCTTGCTTGCTTGCCTTGCTTGCTTGCTTGCTTGCTTGCTTGCTTGCTTGCTTGCTTGCTTGCTTGCTTGCTTGCTTGCTTGCTTGCTTGCTTGCTTGCTTCTTGCTTGCTTGCTGCTTTGATTGCTTGCTTGCTTGCTTGCTTGCTCTTGCTTGCTTGCTTGCTTGCTTGCTTGCTTGCTTGCTTGCTTGCTTGCTTGCTTGCTTGCTTGCTTTCTTGCTTGCTTGCTTGCTTGCTTGCTTGCTTGCTTGCTTGCTTGCTTGCTTGCTTGCTTGCTTGCTTGCTTGCTTGCTTGCTTGCTTGCTTGCTTGCTTGCTTGCTTGATTGCTTGCTTGCTTGTTTGCTTGCTTGCTTGCTTGCCTGCTTTGATTGCTTGCTTGCTTTCTTTCTTGCTTGCTTTGCTTTCTTTGCTTGCTTGCTTGCTTGCTTGCTTGCTTGCTTGCTTGCTTGCTTGCTTGCTTGCTTGCTTGCTTGCTTGCTTGCCTGCTTTGATTGCTTGCTTGCTTGCTTGCTTTCTTGCTTGCTTGCTTGCTTGCTTGCTTGCCTGCTTTGATTGCTTGCTTGTTTGTTATCCAGCTTGCTTGCTTGTTTGTTATCCTGCTTGTTTGATTGCTTTTTTGTTTGTGTTCCTGCCTGTTTGTTTGTGCGTTTGTTTGTGTAGTTGTTTGCTCGCTTCAAAGAGGCCACTTCAAAGCCGCTTCGTTGCGGGTCCGAATTCTTTTTCACTCGTTTTGAAGGTCCTTAGCTTCCTCTTTTTGAAGGAGTTCTATATAGAAACGGTTTGGGTGGAACCACCGAATCACCGAACCAACAGAAACCGAAAGGGGAAAGAACTGGTGAAATCCACAACCGTCTTCTAGAGTTCGACCAACCCCATGGAGAGCGGAGGTCAGACCTTTGAGCCTAGCTCTGCTTGGGCAGGGGCCGAGAGTGCAAACGATGCTGTTTGGCCTTAAGTTGCTCACTTCCTGAGTTCCCTTCAAACGGCCTCAAACGGGTTCTTCCCCAAAAAGACACCCATCTGGACGTTGTTCGCTTCTTGGGTAAACCGTTTCGGTTTCTGGACATTTTCTGACCAATCCCCACTCGGGAAGTGAGGCTAAGCACGGAAAGAGAAAGAGTCACCCCAAAAGGCACCGATGCACTTCTCTCACCCCTTGCCAATCCTGACATTCCAAAGTGGCTGTGGGTCAAAACGAATGGCATCCCATTTTGGGGTAGGTGAATTCACCACCCAGTTTAGAACCTATTTTAGTGGGGATTGGGATGCTCACTGGGGGTACGATTTGGATTTTGACCCATGGCCAAGTGCTTAGACTTGTTGTTTTATCGCCAGCAGACTAAGAGGCTGCTTGCCATGCCAAAGGCATGCTCGGCGTGCGCCTCGCCAGCGCCTAACTGGCATTTTTGAGAACAGTTCGGAGCTCCAAGGGACCTCCAGAAATTTATGTCAGAACATGAGCCACCCAGTGATCAGCTGGGTTGCAAGAACAATTTGGGTGGTGTTGTTAGTTTTCCTTTTGGTTGTCCTTCAGAATTGGCAACAAAAATGGCCCTCAGTGTGTTTTTGCTAGTTTTCCTTTGGTTGTCCTTCAAGACAAAAAACAAGAATAGGCCCTCAAAACAGGAAACACTCATTGGCTCAGTCGACCCGTGCTTTGAGAGTCGCCCTGCGGTTCGAATAGCACTGGCGGAGTTGTCCAGCGAGGGATGTGACCTAAAAAATTCGCCCGAGCGAGGGGTTCAGCCAGTCGAAGGCGTGGCTTCGGCTTCGGCGAACGAAATATGGCTCGACAGGTACCCCGCCTGTGGTTTCCAAGGGCAAGAGGAAAGCCAAACGCCTGGCTTTTTAGGGTGGCCCAGATCCTGAGAAAGATGAGCCACCCAAAAGACATGGGGAATGCTTTGGAAGTTCCAGGCCCTACCCAAAAGGCGCTCAGGTCACAGATCGCACTGCGGGGTGGGAGTTGCCTGTTGTTCTCCCGGCAAAAAAGAGAAAGCGCACGGGAATCAGGTTTGGCGTCGCACAGTTGGTTTGCTTGTATTCGTTGCAATGCTACGTGGGCCGTCCCCAATTGGTTTAAGGCAGATCCGGGGGGCCGCAAAATTCTTCTTGGATGGTCTCCTATCGTTTTCTCGCGACGGAATCTTATGGGGCGCTCGCACAACACTTGTCCGCAGGCCTAACGCCATGATGCCTGGGATTTTTTGGATCAGACATGAGAGCTATGCTGTGTGTCTACCAAGGCTTCAGCCGCGTTTCCATCCGCATCCACAAAACCCGGCCTGCACAGCTGAAAGCATTCGAACAAAGAACCAGCTCCGGCGGGGAAGCAACATGTCAACTGGGCCCGGCAAAACATCGCTGAAAGTTCCAGGTAGGCGCCCTCTCCTTTGACTAAGATTTTGGCGGGGTTGGGCCCCGCGTGCCATGGATGTCGTGCCTGGGAATCCATCGGCTTGGCTCTTGCACTTGGCTTGTCCAGGGGTTGCGCTCAGATGAAGCCTCAAGCCCACCTTCTCACCTCTTGGCTTTCTAGCTTCGTTGGTGATCTGGCCATGGGGCATAATGGCTCCGTTTTGGGGTGGATGAACGTCCATTTGCCACCTATTTTGATGTTCACCAGGGATACAGGGTTTTGACCCACAGCCATCTCTTTTGATTGCTGGGTCCACACTGGGCAACTGAGTACTCACCAAAAGACCCATGGACTGTCGTAGATCTATCGTGTTGGGCCTTGGGCCTCTTGGGGCCAAGCCCTTGAAGAGTTTCGCCCGTTGGCCTAGGAAACGGTTTGGGTATGTTTTCGTGAAGCCTTCGGCAGGTTGAATCCAGGTACTCCTTGATAGCCTTGGATTGGTGGGAAAAGAACTCGTTTTTTGTGTGAAGCCAAATGGGGAAGGTAGCCCCCAAACTCCAAACCACCAAGCCAAAGCGCTAATTGGTAGGATGAATGTATACACCCATGGCTTGTCTTTTTTGAGTCAAAGGCTGATTGTATTGGTCCATATGAGCCACGGTCAAAACCCGGGTAGATGAAGGTTAGTAAGGGATAATCTCAACCATAAATAGGTGGAGCCGCCTTTTTAATTCCTTGCATGGTTCTGGGTAGGGATCTGAGGACCACTGGTTTAGACGGCCTTGGTTCCATACACCAGGGCCATCCTTGTTTTTACCAAAAGGCCAAAAGGACACCTATGATACTGTGGATGGACGACATCCTGCACCACTCTTAAATCCATGGGAAACCATTGTTTGTTGGTATTTAGAGGGGAATCATCGTTTCATGGTTTTATTTTTTTAGGTGGTGCAGGAAATCGTCCATCCACAGTATGGGCATTTGCATCATTAGTGTTCCCCTCAAGTCATGATTCCCACTCTTCTTTTAGGGACACCCCCATATTACTAAACAGATTAATCCTTCTAACACCCCTCTAAACAGATTTAGGGACCAAGATCCGGGGTGTCCCTAATCTGTTTATGGTGTCCCATGTGTCCCAGAAATCCGGGATTCCGGGTCAGGCATAGGGTCAGGGGTCCAGTCGCTCGCTAGGCGCGGCATGCTGCCGCGGGGCTCCGTGGGCCTGCAGCGCCTCGAAGCGAAAAAGTTGCTCGCGGGGCGTTTGGAGCCTCCTTGGGGATCCGATTTTTTTGGTTTACCCCGTGTTGACCCCGTGTTGACCCGCTCACTTCTTGAGTTCCGTGTTACTCCGACTTGTTCGTCACCCTTGAAAGTTGGACCATGGTGAGGCTTGGTTTGGCCCGTCCACTCACAGGCTTGGAAAGCTCCCGGACCAAAAGTTCGCAGGGCTGCTCCCCAGAATATCAACGGAAGTCCCAAAACGGGTTCCATTTCCCAAAAGGAGCTTCCTCCATGGATCGGCGTTGTTTTTTTTTCTTCTTTTTTCGGATCTGTGGAGTAAATGGTGATTTTTGCCTTTTTCTCAAGGCGAACCGACGGGATCGATCCGACCTTTGGCTTCCTCGTTTTGGTCCTTGCTCATTACCCAGACGCTCCAATTCGATGCATTTTGGGCCTTCAAACAGCCATTTTGGGCCTGACAGCCAGGTTTTGAGACCCCAAGCCCCCGCAAAGCTGTCAAAGCCAGGTTTTGAGACCCCAAAAACGCCCCTCTGGGGTGTCCAATGGAGGGTCTGGGTCTTCCATTGGCCGAAGCCGATCGGAGCGTCTGGGTAGTGTAGCTCATGACTCAGGGTCTCAGACTGTAGGCTTGGATTTGTCGCGAGGTTTTTAAGGAAACCAAGAGCAAATTCATGGTGCGCCTTTGGGACTCTTGCGTTTTGGTGGGTTGCAAAAGGAAACCCAGCGGAAACCAAACAGTTGGCTTTCAGTTTCGCTCAGTCTTGGAGAGCGGGGTAAGCCCAAACAATGGTTGTTTCATACTCTACTCCAAATCCAAACTTGTGAGCCTTGGGGGAATCATGGAACTACCCTCCTGTCCACTATCATGTAACTCACCAGGGGGTCCATTTTTGCTGGAACATGTTCGTCCAGCCCCCCGAAACGTCAGGTTCCATGTTTGTGGATGCCCCAGTACTGGTACTACGTACTCTGAAAAATGTTTAACTCTGTTGCCCAGTTTTTTTGGGGGGCCGGGTTCCCCTTCAATAGTTAAACTCAACCAACCAAAACAGGATGGTCTGTTTTTCCCATGGCCACTGGGCATTTGAGTTCAAGGTCAAACAACTGACTAGACCTTTACTTGTTCAGCTTGCGTTCAATCGCCCCCAGGTTGCCGAGAAGTAAAACGGGGCCGACGGCCGCACCTACGCTTCGTCAAAATGAGGCAGGGAGAGCCATGTTTTTTGCAACACATGGCGATTCTGGGCTAGACTTAGGATACTTTCTACATTTTACCAGTGACTCCATGTGAAGCAAACAATAAAATATACATTCTATATCTGGGCCTAGCTCTAACCATGGATTTGTTGGCCGCATAGCTTGCGTCCAGCCTGGTTTGTGAACCCCGCTCCTGGGGCTTCCAATGGAAGACCCAGACCTTTGATTGAACACCGACGCCCCTCTGTTGGGGTGTGTGAGGGTCTCAAACGACCCGGCGAAATCGGGCCCAAAAAAGAATCATGGAATCGGAGCGTTCGGGGATCCGCAGCCATGGGATCCCCATGGGATCCCAAAAGCCCCAAAAGCATCGCGAGCACCGAGCTTGGCTGCCCCGCGGTTGTGAGGATGTATTCTGCCTATTTTACGGCGAGCACACCGATTCGCGGGGAAAGCAAGCGAAAGCCATGACAAAGATCCTTTACTTGCGGATCCGGGTTTCGGAATTATTGCAAAAATTGCAGATGCACATGTTAAAACCATTCATGCCGTATAGTGAGCTTTGAGCTGTTCTCATTGCATGAAACACACGGCCAAAAAGTTGGCAGCAGGATATCACATGGCTTCTTCTGCTGTGTGCGCGTGCCGATTGCAAGCACTGCTCCACACAAACACGTCTCATAGCCTGCTCGTAGCCAGTTCTCACAATCTGTGTTCCACATAGCCAACTTCCTTTTGGGAAAGACATCCGCCTAGCCTCCGCGTATGTGCTTCCATTGCAAATTAATGTCCCAACCCAACAAGCAAGCCAAAGGCGGTGATTGCTCCTTTCCCAAGCGATGTTTTTCCCAGAGCATGGAAGCTGCCCCTGTCAAGCCGCAGCTTCCGGGCCTCTGGGAACGAAGGAACCTTTCTGCAGCCTTTCCAAGGGAGGTGTCGGCACCCGTGTCTATTTCGAAATACATCCAAAACGGCGGTGTCCTTTTAAATTCTCTGACCAGCCTAAGGGGGGAGCCCTCAAAAAGAAGAAGGAAGACACCACCTGGTTTGTTGTTCCTTCCAGTGCCCTTTTTCGGGAACACCTCCAAACCCAAACAGAAAAACACGAAAACCCACGCCACACCTCGCGCCTTGCGCGCCCTTGCCGCAGGGGCCGCGGATGCCGTCGCTGAAGGGCTCCATCGTCATGGCCATGAAGCCCAAGCAGCGCCCGCAGCCGCCGTGGCGCCCGGCGGGGAAAGCGCCCAAACCCGTGCCACGGAAGGCCAAGGGGCGGAAGGGAGGTTTGGGGTGTGGGGGAGGTGAAGGCGGGTGGGCTGTCTTTAGTTTAAAGGGGCCCTGGGTTGTTTTTTCCCTTAAAACTAGCCAAAATGGATTCAAATGAGAGTTGTGGCAGTCGTTTTTTAGGTTGGAGTCCCTAAAATCATAAGTTATCCTGATGGATTGTCTCCTTAATTAAGACCAACAAAAAGGTGGTGCCCCTTGAACAAACCACACTCTCATTGTGTGTGGAGTGAAGCTAGAAGTGGAATACGTGTTTGTTTGTTTACTTGTTTGTTTGTTTGTTTGTTTGTTTGTTGTTTGTCTGTCTGTTTGTCTGTCTGTCTGTCTGTTTGTCTGTCTGTCTGTCTGTCCGTCTGTTTGTTTGTTGTGTTTCATGGTGTATCAAAACCTGCGAAGTAATGCTCAGCATTGTGCCCAAGCATCAGTTGCGCTGCAGCGAACTTGACGCCTTTGAAGGTGCAGGGCAGAACTGCGGACCCAAGCACAGCCGGCGTTTTTTTTTTTGCGTTGTTCGAGGCGTAACTTCCCCATTCTTTCCAGGGATCCTTCTTTCTAGAAAACCACCAAAAAACCTCTGGGGAAATGGCAGGTGTTTGAAAAGAACGATGGCTGAAAAGAATGGGGAATCAACCCCTAGAGTTGTTGCCTTTCGGTTTGAGTAATTGCTTCGGGGCGGCGCCTTAAGTCCGAGATGCCTAAAACATATTTTCCAAGATGGAGGTGTCATTTGCGTTGAACAAGTTATGTTGCTGATCAATGCCCTGACTTTTAAAGCATATGGCTTGCCGGGTGCCGAACGATCCACCGTTAATTGCACATTAGTCCAGAACCCTTGCTCAAGCAGGTCACATCAGCTCCTAGCTTGGCTCACCGGGACGATTTTGCGGTCTTCCTGAGCTCACTTCCTTCCTGTTCAAGTCGGTCTCGTTGATTTGGAGCTCAGGCCCGCTTTTCTTCAGAAGTTCTGATCCCTAGGTCGCAAGCCGCCATTCCTGAAGTCGACTTGAGATACATTTTCACATTTTACCGGTGACTTAAAGTGAAGCAAAAAATAAAGTATAACATACATTTTACTGTTTACCAGCTAACTCGATAGGCAACTGGACCTAACTCGATAGGCATGACTGCCTCTCGGCTGCAAGGCTGAGAGCGCAAACAAACTGGAATTTCCTGCTGAGCCATCTTCGCCTGATGGCCCCCCATGCGTTCATGCGTTGGCTTGAAACTCGCCCGGATGGACCAGGTGGCCCCCCTGCCGAACCGCACGCTGCCGAAGAAGACGGGCCCCAGCTCGGCCCCTGGCATCGTGCCGCTGAAGGGCTCCGTGGCTTGGCCAAATGGATCTGGGTCCCAAAGGGATGGAGCACATATTGCATATATATATATATGTGTGTGTGTGTCTGTATATGTTTTGAGATATAGGTGTGGGTTAGGGGGGGTGACCACACAATATATATATATATAGGTTTGGATCTTTGTGAGGATGGCGGCCTTTGGGGGAATTCATGGAACCGCTCCTGGGGCTTGTGTGAGCCCTTTGATAACTAGCGAGACGAACGAGGTTATAATCCAAGCCCAAGAACCTGATCAATAGAAGAAACTCCCTTGGGGAAGTGAGCGCCCCGTGTTGGTTCTTTGGGTTCCAAGTGTTGAGCCCATATTAATGCCCATATGAATCAACCCCAGTTGATGAATAGGAGGGGTCCCTTGGTTTAGTGGGAACTCAGACCACTTTTGGAGGGGTTTTCACCTAGGGTTAGCGGGGAATCAGACCGCTTTTGTATCCGTCCAAATGATAGCGTGAATGAGGACGGATGAAGAGATGGCGTGTCTTTCCTTTATCCTCGTTCTCCGTTTTTTTTGGTAGGACGAGCCATCAGCATGAAGTGTAGTGGGGAAGCAGACCACTTTTGCAGCACTTTTCACCTGGGTTGGGGAATCAGACCGCAATGGAGGGATCAGTAGGAGGGCGAACCCGAATGCTCCCGGGGCTTTCCGCCAGGTGGCCCTTGCGAAGGCCGGGCCAAAAGCCGCCAAGAAGAAGGCCCTGTGGGTTCGGGGGCTCGTGCGAGACAGGGGGAGACATGCCCGTCCAAAGTGGGGTGTCTCTCATAAAAACGGTATGTGCCAGGGTAAGTTGCTTGATTTGCGTGAAAATTATTTGTGGCTTGTTGTAAATGTTGCTAGCTTGTGGTAAGCATTGGTACCATTGTCATTATGTTTTTGCTAATATCCTGTGGAGAGAGGGCCATTTTGAGAAAAACATGTCGTTGTGGAGATGGGGCTGTCGCACAAAGGGATTCTTCCACGCGGCAGCTGACACAGGATGAATTCTTTGTGGAGGCAGGGCCTTGTTTTGAAAAACCTACCCGCTTTGCTATCGTGGGACGTTCAAAGGGATGGCTCACCAGTGAGTTGAGCTTAAGCGAAGAGTTGGTTTTCGCCCTCATTCAAAGCCCCCAAATGTTCTCCGCCACGCCTTTTGCGAACCTCGAGCTTGTGGTGCTGTGGGCAATTCCATTGCAAGTCAAAACCTCCCATCGCGCTCATTGGCAAGTGGGTATTTGTGTCACAAATCAACCCCAGGTTGCGATCAGTGTCCCTCAGGCCAAATATTTGTCATGTCCGTCGCGATTTTTTTTGGGCATACAGGCATTTAGGTGGTGGCAAGGTGGGAAGCAATGCATGAAAACGTAAAATCTGAAAGTTGGGTCCTGCAGGTTTTTGGATGCTTGGCCCAAATCGGCTTCTGCAAGCCCTGCGTATTTCAAAGCAAACCTACTGATTCACGGGTTCATTTGCCGCCGGAATTTGTCGTTCTTTGCGCGTATATGTTTGAAGGTGGGGAAAAGAGCCAGTTCCTAGGGCTGATTCCTAAAGGAATTGCCTCCCAAAGGGGAAGTCCCTTGGCCGAACAGGTCAAAGATAGAATTAACCCCTTCCCCCTAATATAAAACGTCCCCCCCCCTCCCCCCCCCCCCTAATATAAAAAAAAAAACCGAGGTTTGTATAATTAGGGGTCCCCTGTTCAGCTTTCGGAACTTTAGGGCAGCATTTGGGAGTAGCTTGGTTTTAGTATTGGTTATCAGTGGGAATGTGTTCCCCCCTTTCCGGGCACCAAAAACCATTCAACTAATTGTTTTTGAGTAAGGGATTTAAATGGAAACGGTGACCTTTTTTTTGGGGGGGAAACCTCGTGCTTGAGTACTCCCGGAGCTCCGGCTCGAAAGTCGCCTTTGTAGTACAAGCGTAGTAAAGGAATCGTACTTTGATTTCTGGACGAGGGTTTTTATTATTAGGGAGACCTTTATAATTAGGAAGAAGGGATTATCTTCTGCAAACAGGCTGTTGATTCATCAGGGCATTTGGTGCTTCCCGGAGTAAAGTGAAGACATGCTTGTGCTTCAGCTGCGGTGCGCTTCTTGTGTTGTTTTGTTCTTTTGGTTTGGGGGGATAACATATGCAACTCACTCCCGAAGTTCCAGGACTTCAACCCTGTTGGGAAGACCATTTCAGTGGCAACCAAAACGTTTGGTGTTACTTTTTTGGGCCAATCCGCTGGATCGGCGGCGATGTCAAGCCTTTCCGTTTCCCGCCCCAGCGCCGCGGCCGAAGCCGGTTTCGGTTTCCTCGGGAGGTCCCAGGCCCAGCGCTGCGCGGCTCGGTGGCGCAGATGCTGAAGGCGGCCAAGCCCCTGAAGGCCCGAGTTCGCGTTGTTGGCAACGGTTTGCATGAACACCGAAGTCGATCGGCTTGGATCCTTTTCTTTGGTGCAGTTTGCCAAGGGATGTTAGGACTTTAGCTTTTCGCCAACTAATGGGTTTTCCGAACGAAACCACTAAAAGTTAAACTTTTAGCAGGGGAGCAGAAAGCAACCGAGCCCTGAAGTAAAGGAGGACGGGGAGTCCCTTTCAGGAATCCACTTGTTTCGTCCAGTAAGCGAGCGTGGGCCCAGGCCCCGGTGAAGGTGCGCCCAGTACGCCCAGTCCGCCCGCCGGCGCCCAAAACCGCGGCAACCGCCGGGAAGCGCACGCGGCCCGGCGGCCTTTTCTTTTGGGCGCGGAGGGGTATCCGCTCAACGACTTGTTGCCAGTTCATATACTGCCACCCGAGACTACTAGACCGGCTGCATAATTTCAAGTGCATTTTTTGCCTGCGAGGAATGCATAATGCCATGAGTTGAATGTTTCGGGTTGCGAGCTATTTGGGTGTGGAGTGTATGCCTTGTTTTCACACATCCTGTTATTTGTCGAATTGAAAAGCATACGTGCAATGGGCAAAGTGGGAGGATTTGTGGAGTTGCAGACAGGGTCTACATAATATGTTTCCTTGGATAGCGGAAAGGTCTGGAAGAGCCCTGTTTCGGAAGACCAAAGTCGCATGGGAGATAGCCCCTGCCGCCAAAATGCAAAGATATTGGGTTGGGGAAAGACCAAAACCGCCGCGTTTATGGAAGTTCGGGCCGTCGGGTGTTTTATGGTGTTTTGTTTGCTGCTTCGCCGAGTACCCTCGCACGACTGACCAGCATTTCACCAGTTGGGTGTTTTTCTCAGGGAACCCCCTCCCCATTTGCACTCAAGTGCTGAAAACCATCCAACCAAAAACGGTACCAACTCAAAAAGAATAACGCCTTTCTCGCAAGGGCCCAACAAAAAAGGAGGACCCACCCTTTTACCCCCTTTCTCCTCGCTGGCACCCGGTACCAACTCGCAAAAACCAAAGCCGAGCGACGTCGTTCCGCGTGCAGTTCATTCGCCCAGGCGGAACCTGCCGGACGCCTGGGAAAGCCTGAAAAAGCGGCGCCATGACAAGCCCATGGAGGAACCACGATCGACGAGCTATGGGCAAGGGGACTTTGGTTTTGGTCTGGGCAAAAGGTGTTTCCCCTTGGGGGCAGTTGTGCATATATATATATATATATCTATATGCTTGTGTTTGTGTTGTTTGCTTGCTTGCTTGCTCGCTTGTTTCTTTGTTTGTTTGTTTGTTTGTTTGTTTGTTTGTTTATTTGCTTTTTTACTTTTAACGTTGCGCTGCGTCACCGTCAGAAGCTGGGGTGATCCGCGCCACTTTAACCTGGACAGGTCTGAGGCCTCGGGACCCATTGACATAGGAATTCAAAGATTTTGTTTGGAGAATACGATGGCTGCAGGCAGCGCTAGTTGATGGTTTGGATTTGGATTTGAAGCGGCTTGAGTAGCCGTGTCGTCTTTCATTTCGTGGTGCTGCAAGCACCCAACGGATTTTTCACAGGGTTGCCATGGGTTCCCGCTGTTCGATTTTGCACCTTTCTGATTTCCAGCTTAACCACGCACTACTTAGTACAGGGGTTGGCAAACGGCTGGAGGGCGGCCGAGCTCCCGCGTGCAAATGGGATATGTCCTACAGAGGATCTTGCAAACATGCAAAATTTTGGAGGGCTCCCCGCCCCCCCAAAAACAAAGAAAAGCAACACCCCTAAACCCGGTTGGAAAGTTAGCCAAGCAACGTTGCCCCGCCCCCATTTGTACGCAGATACCGCAAGGACCTGGAGTTTCCCTCAGCAGAGCTCGAGGAAGAGTTTGAAGAAGTGGAGGTAGAGGTGGAGGAAGTCGTCCACAGGAGCGAATCGCGACCTCGCAAGCCAAAAAAAAAAACGGAAACACACCTCCGAACATGGTCGATATTTTTCTTTAACGGGGTGTCTTCGGTTTGGGGGGTCCCTTGAAGGGGGTGCAGTACGTGTTGTTTTCCAGGCCCTTGGTGGTTGGGATGGGTTTGGGTGAAGCCCAGCCACCAAGCCACCACCAAACCACAGGTCTTCGTCGTTGTTCTTTTCTGGAAGCTCCAAAAGTGGCAATGGACACAACCAGTAGGTTGCAATTGTTGAAGGGGAATCCAGTCACCCCCCCTATAGTTGGTAAGGCGATACTTCAATCATCCTGTTCCGGATGCCATCTTTGGTGGGGTTGGCCTACGATCAACTCAGCTACTTCGTGGTGAATGGTTTTAAGCCTGACCTACCCTTACATAAATATAAATTTATGTATAGCTATATACAAGCCTGCCAGTTTCGTGTTTCCGCATGGCTCAAATGAGAGCGCATGCATATTTCGACCAGGGCAGGGCTCGCGTAACGTGAACCCCGGATTTAATAAACCCCTGGTTGATTCATAGGGGGGGTGTCCCCTTTTAGTTGGGATTCAGACCACTTTTGGAGGGGTTTTCACCCCCCCAATGGGAGGGGTTTATGAATCCTGGGTCAACATGACATCTCCATCAGCCTTCAAGGGGTTGCTGGCTTCTCCGGCCGGGCGATAGGTGGATGGGGCTTCCCCGCGCAGGAACCTGAAGCCGAAGCAGCGGACCCCACAGCCGCCGCCGCCGCCGAAGCCGAAGCGGAAGATTGTCTTCAAGGAGGTCTCCTGGCAGCTTCACAGGCAGGCCAAGGTGCTGCTCTCTCGAAGAAATCGGTTTTGGGGAATTTAGAGTTACGATTGTCCCAGCTGAGAGGCGACTTTCCCAGCTGAGAGGCGACTTTCCCAGCTGAGAGGCGATGGCGGCACATGCAAGCACAGAGCACATGGACACACACACACACACACACTTTTATGAAGACCAGGGCCTTTTGGCCCTGGACCAAACCCCACAACAGATATATTATGACGCTTATGGGCAGTGTTTCTCAAGTGGCTATCATTCTTCGGCGAAGCTTTTGGCTGGCTGAGGCTTCCCTTTCGCGTGAGTACTGCACGAAGGTTGGGCAATTCAGGGTGTCCTTCATTTCCCTTTTTGGATCCTCCAAAAGTTGCAGTTTCAGTGGAAAGCTTCAACTTTTGGAGGGGAAATCCAGTGCCCCCTGAAAGTGGTTCATGACTTTTTAGGGGTCAAAGGCATTCACCAGACCACTTCCTTGGTTTGCAAAGCCCGGGATTTTTTTGAAATTTGGGTTGTACGGCAGCCGGCTTTCGCCCGAGTACAGTTGTCTTAAGGGTAACTGGTTGTTCCCCAGACCGTTGACCTTGATCTTCTCTTCACTGCTCTTGGCAAGTTGTTTGGTTTTTAGCGTGTCGGTTCTGCTTACTTTTGGTGGGGGGCTCGGAAACAAACCAGTCAGTCTGTATCAGTCTGTTGCGTTTCCATACCAAGAGTTGGCCATGATTGACATCAGAGGAAATAGACCTGAGCTGTGCAGTAGAAAGCGTTGGGCGCAACTTGTTCAGGGATCCAACTCTGATCCAGAGCTTCTTCGGATCCCCTTTCAAAAAAAGGTTGCGCCCCGAAAACGATCCTTCCACCTACCCATCCATCCACCCACCCCATGTTGTTTGCGGGGAGTGGCTCGGCCTCATCCGAGCAACGCTTAGGTGAAGGCCCGTCTTGTTCACAAAGACCAGCAGAACCGCTTCTGGGAGTCCCTTTGCAGCCTCTCCGTGGCGAATGTCCAAGGAAGACTCCGGGGAAGCATCCAGAGCCTCAGAAAAATACGCCGCCGAGTCGATCGGGTCACCCCGGTCGGGTCCTCCGAATGGTCCAGCTCTCGTTATCCGGCCGGAAATGTTTGAAACCCAAAGATGAATGGAGCTGCACGCAACAATGTTTGTCACATAGAGGATGCTTAATGCACGGTCTGGGTCGCCAGCAATGGAACGGCGCTAATGTGGGACATGCCTTTTTGAGATGGGGCAAGAAAGAATGGAGCGCTCCTCCTATGCCCTAGGGTGATATATTGATGATGAACCAAAAGGGCACGGGTGATAGACAAATAGCACTGTCTATTGCTTTGCCCGGACTAAAAACTTAGCCTTCACTACCAGCATCGCCAGATACCCCTGCAACGAGCCAATGTCGATTGAAATCCATGGCTTGTTGCTACCCCGCCTTTGGAAGCTCCACGAATGGAACTCAGTGTTTCCAAGGGACATGCGTGGGCCGGGTATGACCGTTGTCTCGTGTGTGTGTTGTTGGTTTGCTTCTAAGGGTTTGCTGGTTTGGGTTTGACATTGACGTCAGGTCTCGCTTTTGGGTGACCCTGAGCTGGGCAAGTCTTTCCCTTCGTGCGGCACAGAAACTGCTGTGCCTTTTTGGCCAGGGTCAAGCGGCTTGTGGGAGAATTTCGAGGCTGAAGGTGCGATTCCGTGAAGTTGGGTTGGTCGGGTAACCCCAACCCAGCAAGTTAACATGGAGCCCCAGAGAAGTGCATGCATCGGGCTACTGCACGATGGCAAGAACTAAGCCAAGCAACCTTCAGCTCAAAAAAATGCCAAACACATTTGACCTCAACCCCTGCAGCGGATCTCATGGTGGTGCGAAACAAAGCCCTAAATGGGTTTGTGGTGTTGTGTGGCCTTTTCATATGGGTTCCAAACCAAAAGGAAAACCACCTCTCTTTTTTGGGTGGGGCAGGGGAGGGGTGATCTATTTTGACGCATGCCAGATTGCAAAGAAGTTTACACGATGCCGCAAAGAAGTTTACACGATACATGTCTCGCTGTAGGCACACTGCGCTTTGCCAAAGGTGCCGTGCTATGTGTGCCTGTCGGGTTGAAAGGGAACCAGACCTGACTGCTGCACTTTTGTGTAGATCGCCTCAGTCCATTTTGCAGGAGGTGGCACACCAATAAATTCCAAGGGCAAGTGTTGTATAGATAGACAGGCAACTGCATAATCTTCCAGGGTTACTTTCTCGTGATGTTGTCTCTTCAGGGCTTCCTGAAGAGATCTTCTATACTTGTCCTTTTGTTTAAGAAGAACCTGCTTTTGATTTCCCCCCCCCCAAAAAAAAAAAGAAAGAAAAAGAAACAAAAGCCAAACACAAGTAGTCATGTTGCGTGATCCTTGTTTTGAAGCTGGCCCCACACAAGCAACCAGCCTCCTACCACGTGTCATTTGCACGAGTCCCCATATTTTGTGTCGAAGCCAGCTTAAATCATTGCTTGCGTTTAGTCGCCAAGCGTACAGAAATCGCGTTCTTCCCGTTTTCCTTTATTTATTTACTTGTTTATTTATTTGTTTATTATTTTTTTGGGGGGGTGGGATGAGTGGGAGTGATGCTTGCAAACAGGACCCCTGTCCCTTACATACGTTGCTTCTCCAATCCCTGGGAGTCGTTTGGCTTGGCCTCTGAGTCAAAGTTCCAAGGTTCCTGAGCGCCGGCGGCCTGCCGCGGCGCAGGCGAAGGGTTTTTTTCAAGTCGGCGGTGGGTGGGTTGAACCATGTTGAAAGTTGGACCAAAGGGAACACCCTGTGGTTTTTGGGCGTTTCGGGGGGGAAGCCGTTGTTGGGGGGCAGAAGAGAATTCCGGATGTTATTGGCACATGCCCAGAATGAAGGATGAAAGTCTCCTGTGAAACTGCAGGGGAACCTTTCGTTGTTTGGGGGGGCCTATTTTGACACCCAGATCCGGGGCCGGGAGCACTTAGATGTCCGTTTTTGGTGCGCTTGAGACATGACCTTTCGAGGGGTGATGTGGTGAGGGGTCCCTGTGACTTTTGGATCTGGACAAATTCTCGAGCTCACAAAAGCCTTTTGTGGAGGGTACCTTTTGGGGGTGTGGTTTAAACAGAAATCACCCATGTTGGGGTGCCCGAATTCTTGAGACAGGGGTTTCTGGAAGGTGTTTGGCGCCGCCAGCGCCCGTCATGTGCCAAGATCTCGAGCAAACAGTTCACGGAATTGACCATTTTGAATGTTGGTTTTCTAGTTTTGAAGCAACCACTGTCAGCGCCAATCAACTTGAACCTTGGCACCCTTCGGCTTGTCCAACTTCCCCCTCCCCGTCTCAAAGAAAGGCAAAACCAAAGCCGTGTCATGTTGAGCGGCACGAAAGCGCAAGCTTGCGCACCTCTTTTTGGAGCTTTGGCGAGATGCGCGTTGGATTTAGGGGCTTGGCCCCGCTATAAAGGGCCAATGGGTCCCGACCTCACCGCCTTGGGGCCAGGCTGCGAGGACAAATCAGAGCAGGCCAGGAGAACAAGGCCCGGCTGCAGTTGTCTTGAGATTTTGGTTCAACCACTCAAGTTTTTTCCCGGGACTTTGGACCACTTGTTGTTTATTGACTCATTTTGGGCCACAGTGTTTGTTTTGGAATTCTCGACCCGCTGCAATTTTCATCAGGGTTTGGCAGACACAGAAGCAGAACTTGAACACGGGCCGGATGGGTCCCCTGAAGACGTGCTTGTGATTTGTTGGCATGCTTGTTGTCCGGCCTCAGTGTTTTTTCCTCGAAGGATACATGTTGGCCGAATTGCTTTTACCACGTTTTCACCAGGTTTCTGCATGGTGTCGGTTTAGGTGCATCCTAGAGACCTGTCCTTGGTTAGCAGTCTTTTGTGTTTTTGGTTAGGCTCCTGGCCCAAAGACATGCTCTGTGTGGAAAAGCTCAACCGGTCTTTTTGAAAAAGATATGCCAGCACCACCCCCCCAACAACTGTTCTTCCCAAATCCCAAGTACGGTCCAAAATATGCAATTGTTGGGGGTGCGCTGGTGTCCCGGTGCGCCTGTTGTTTTTCAGGGTCTTGCTTGTTTAGCCTAAAGGAAACAACCCAACCCAGAGACCCATTGAGTTTTTGTCCCAAGCACTTTGGCCGAAAGGAACCCTCCTGGCCACTCAGATGAGGGCTGTAGGTGTTCTGCAGGCAGAATTCGGAATAGCAGGCGGCCAAAGGAGAATTCACCATGCACAAGAAGGGATGGATATGTCGTCTTTTGAGGGTAGCCCCTTGTGTGGTTGGACGACAAGAAGACGTGTACCCAAATGGTTTGGTTGACGGTTCCCTTAGCGGGATGTCTTGCAAAAAGAGTTTGAGCACTTTTCATGGGTGTGTGTGTGTGTGTTTTTGGCGGTACCCTTTTTGGTGGTTTGAGAGGGAATTCAAAGGGCAAAACAGCATTTTGGGGGGTCCCCGAAAGACCCATGTGAAAGCTATCCATAATGTGGGCACAGACAGCGGCATTGTAGCAAAGTGTTTGTTTGCGTCACGCATGGTTGCCATTGTTTGTGTGTGTGTGTGAGTGTGTGTGATTGTGAGTGTGTGTGTGTGTGATTGTGTGTGTGTGATTGTGTGTGTGTGTGATTGTGTGTGTGTGATTGTGTGTGTGTGTGATTGTGTGTGTGTGATTGTGTGTGTGTGTGTGATTGTGTGTGTGTGTGTGATTGTGTGTGTGTGTGATTGTGTGTGTGTGTGTGATTGTGTGTGTGTGATTGTGTGTGTGATTGTGTGTGTGATTGTGTGTGTGTGTCTGTGTGTGTGTGTATGTGTGTATGTGTGTATGTGTGTATGTGTGTATGTGTGTATGTGTGTATGTGTGTATGTGTGTATGTGTGTATGTGTGTATGTGTGTATGTGTGTATGTGTGTATGTGTGTATGTGTGTATGTGTGTATGTGTGTATGTGTGTATGTGTGTATGTGTGTATGTGTGTATGTGTGTATGTGTGTATGTGTGCTGTGTGTATGTGTGTATGTGTGTATGTGTGTGTATGTGTGTATGTGTGTATATGTGTATGTGTGTGTGTGTGTGTGTGTGTGTGTGTGTGTGTGTGTGTGTGTGTGTGTGTGTGTGTGTGTGTGTGTGTGTGTGTGTGTGTGTGTGTATGTGTGTGTGTGTGTGTGTGTGTGTGTGTGTGTGTGTGTGTGTGTGTGTGTGTGTGTGTGTGTGTGTGTGTGTGTGTGTGTGTGTGTGTGTGTGTGTGTGTGTGTGTGTGTGTGTGTGTGTGTGTGTGTGTGTGTGTGTGTGTGTGTGTGTGTGTGTGTGTGTGTGTGTGTGTGTGTGTGTGTGTGTGTGTGTGTGTGTGTGTGTGTGACTGTGTGTGTGTGTGTGTGTGTGTGTGTGTGTGTGTGTGTGTGTGTGTGTGTGTGTGTGTGTGTGTGTGTGTGTGTGTGTGTGTGTGTGTTTTTTGCGTCATTTCGTCAGTTTCCTTTTCGTCTCCACGTCACCTCGCTCACATCTCGCCGCCAGGTTGAGTTTTACATCTTCGAGGAATTCCCAGAGCCGGGGCTCCTGGAAGACAGGTCCTGCCGTTCGAGTTGCTGTCATTTGCCGGGCATGTATCGTATCCCTGGCTTCAGACTATATAGCTCACAGTTGGTAAGCCGTATGCGTGGGGTTTCTCCACAAGTTGGGATACAGTTTTGGTATCCCGCGTGACATTGGATCGAGCGTTGCCCCAGCCAACATGATTCCTTCCGCTCTCGGAGTCGGAACAACTTTGTCACCAAACGATCTTGCGAGTCGGCAACCGACAGTCTGAGAAGACAAAGAAAATACCGGAGCCTCCCTAAAAGTTGCAGAGGTTTACAATCAACCCATTAAGTTACACACCACCTGTTGGTCTCCCTTAAACCCTCAAAGGGCCCAGGGATCCCAGGGGGTTGTTTAAACATTCTCCCAACGGATGAAAGTGCAAAGAGCTAGGGCTGCGATACGCACAAGATAGCCAGATTGAACAGCGTAAACATAGCGTGCTCGACTTCTCTCCTTGTAGGGGGCCCCAAATTGTGGTTTTCCTTTAAAGCCACCAAAAAGGCGTACCCGAGAAAAGACATCCCCATATTAAGCAGACCTAATGCAAAATCATGTTCATCCACAATGGTTCCTTTCGGGACGTAAGGCGGATTCTGCCGCGCGGGGTCACCCTCATGGAAACCTCCAACTTGACTGGGCTTCAGCTGCCTTCAAATCCTTTCTGTTTGGGTGTGTGCTTGCTTGCTTGCTTGCTTGCTTGCTTGCTTGCTTGCTTGCTTGCTTGCTTTCTTGCTTGCTTGCTTGCTTGCTTGCTTGCTTGCTTGCTTGCTTGCTTGCTTGCTTGCTTGCTTGCTTGCTTGCTTGCTTTTGCTTGCTTGCTTGCTTGCTTGCTTTTGCTTGCTCTTGCTTGCTTGCTTGCTTGCTTGCTTGCTTGCTTGCTTGCTTGCTTGCTTGCTTGCTTGCTTGCTTGCTTGCTTGCTTGCTTGCTTGCTTGCTTGCTTGCTTGCTTGCTTGCTTGCTTGCTTGCTTGCTTGCTTGCTTGCTTGCTTGCTTGCTTGCTTGCTTGCTTGCTTGCTTGCTTGCTTTGAGCTTGCTTGCTTTGCTTGCTTGCTTGCTTGCTTGCTTGCTTTGATTGCTTGCTTGCTTGCTTGCTTGCTTGCTTGCTTGCTTGCTTGCTTGCTTGCTTGCTTTCTTGCTTGCTCGCTTCGCTTGACTGCTTGCTTGCTTGCCTTGCTTGCTCTTGCTTGCTTGCTTGCTTGCTTGCTTGCTTGCTTGCTTGCTTGTTTTTCTTGACTTGCTTGCTTGCCTGTTTGTTGTTGCTTGCTTGCTTGCCTGCTTTGATTGCTTTGCTTTCTTCTTGCTTGTTTGCTTTCTTGCTTGCTTGCTTTCTTTGCTTGCTTGCTTGCTTGCTTGCTTGCTTGCTTGCTTGCTTGCTTGCCTGCTTTGATTGCTTGCTTGCTTGCTTGCTTTCTTGCTTGCTTGCTTGCTTGCTTGCTTGCCTGCTTTGATTGCTTGCTTGTTTGTTATCCAGCTTGCTTGCTTGTTTGTTATCCTGCTTGTTTGATTGCTTTTTTGTTTGTGTTCCTGCCTGTTTGTTTGTGCGTTTGTTTGTGTAGTTGTTTGCTCGCTTCAAAGAGGCCACTTCAAAGCCGCTTCGTTGCGGGTCCGAATTCTTTTTCACTCGTTTTGAAGGTCCTTAGCTTCCTCTTTTTGAAGGAGTTCTATATAGAAACGGTTTGGGTGGAACCACCGAATCACCGAACCAACAGAAACCGAAAGGGGAAAGAACTGGTGAAATCCACAACCGTCTTCTAGAGTTCGACCAACCCCATGGAGAGCGGAGGTCAGACCTTTGAGCCTAGCTCTGCTTGGGCAGGGGCCGAGAGTGCAAACGATGCTGTTTGGCCTTAAGTTGCTCACTTCCTGAGTTCCCTTCAAACGGCCTCAAACGGGTTCTTCCCCAAAAAGACACCCATCTGGACGTTGTTCGCTTCTTGGGTAAACCGTTTCGGTTTCTGGACATTTTCTGACCAATCCCCACTCGGGAAGTGAGGCTAAGCACGGAAAGAGAAAGAGTCACCCCAAAAGGCACCGATGCACTTCTCTCACCCCTTGCCAATCCTGACATTCCAAAGTGGCTGTGGGTCAAAACGAATGGCATCCCATTTTGGGGTAGGTGAATTCACCACCCAGTTTAGAACCTATTTTAGTGGGGATTGGGATGCTCACTGGGGGTACGATTTGGATTTTGACCCATGGCCAAGTGCTTAGACTTGTTGTTTTATCGCCAGCAGACTAAGAGGCTGCTTGCCATGCCAAAGGCATGCTCGGCGTGCGCCTCGCCAGCGCCTAACTGGCATTTTTGAGAACAGTTCGGAGCTCCAAGGGACCTCCAGAAATTTATGTCAGAACATGAGCCACCCAGTGATCAGCTGGGTTGCAAGAACAATTTGGGTGGTGTTGTTAGTTTTCCTTTTGGTTGTCCTTCAGAATTGGCAACAAAAATGGCCCTCAGTGTGTTTTTGCTAGTTTTCCTTTGGTTGTCCTTCAAGACAAAAAACAAGAATAGGCCCTCAAAACAGGAAACACTCATTGGCTCAGTCGACCCGTGCTTTGAGAGTCGCCCTGCGGTTCGAATAGCACTGGCGGAGTTGTCCAGCGAGGGATGTGACCTAAAAAATTCGCCCGAGCGAGGGGTTCAGCCAGTCGAAGGCGTGGCTTCGGCTTCGGCGAACGAAATATGGCTCGACAGGTACCCCGCCTGTGGTTTCCAAGGGCAAGAGGAAAGCCAAACGCCTGGCTTTTTAGGGTGGCCCAGATCCTGAGAAAGATGAGCCACCCAAAAGACATGGGGAATGCTTTGGAAGTTCCAGGCCCTACCCAAAAGGCGCTCAGGTCACAGATCGCACTGCGGGGTGGGAGTTGCCTGTTGTTCTCCCGGCAAAAAAGAGAAAGCGCACGGGAATCAGGTTTGGCGTCGCACAGTTGGTTTGCTTGTATTCGTTGCAATGCTACGTGGGCCGTCCCCAATTGGTTTAAGGCAGATCCGGGGGGCCGCAAAATTCTTCTTGGATGGTCTCCTATCGTTTTCTCGCGACGGAATCTTATGGGGCGCTCGCACAACACTTGTCCGCAGGCCTAACGCCATGATGCCTGGGATTTTTTGGATCAGACATGAGAGCTATGCTGTGTGTCTACCAAGGCTTCAGCCGCGTTTCCATCCGCATCCACAAAACCCGGCCTGCACAGCTGAAAGCATTCGAACAAAGAACCAGCTCCGGCGGGGAAGCAACATGTCAACTGGGCCCGGCAAAACATCGCTGAAAGTTCCAGGTAGGCGCCCTCTCCTTTGACTAAGATTTTGGCGGGGTTGGGCCCCGCGTGCCATGGATGTCGTGCCTGGGAATCCATCGGCTTGGCTCTTGCACTTGGCTTGTCCAGGGGTTGCGCTCAGATGAAGCCTCAAGCCCACCTTCTCACCTCTTGGCTTTCTAGCTTCGTTGGTGATCTGGCCATGGGGCATAATGGCTCCGTTTTGGGGTGGATGAACGTCCATTTGCCACCTATTTTGATGTTCACCAGGGATACAGGGTTTTGACCCACAGCCATCTCTTTTGATTGCTGGGTCCACACTGGGCAACTGAGTACTCACCAAAAGACCCATGGACTGTCGTAGATCTATCGTGTTGGGCCTTGGGCCTCTTGGGGCCAAGCCCTTGAAGAGTTTCGCCCGTTGGCCTAGGAAACGGTTTGGGTATGTTTTCGTGAAGCCTTCGGCAGGTTGAATCCAGGTACTCCTTGATAGCCTTGGATTGGTGGGAAAAGAACTCGTTTTTTGTGTGAAGCCAAATGGGGAAGGTAGCCCCCAAACTCCAAACCACCAAGCCAAAGCGCTAATTGGTAGGATGAATGTATACACCCATGGCTTGTCTTTTTTGAGTCAAAGGCTGATTGTATTGGTCCATATGAGCCACGGTCAAAACCCGGGTAGATGAAGGTTAGTAAGGGATAATCTCAACCATAAATAGGTGGAGCCGCCTTTTTAATTCCTTGCATGGTTCTGGGTAGGGATCTGAGGACCACTGGTTTAGACGGCCTTGGTTCCATACACCAGGGCCATCCTTGTTTTTACCAAAAGGCCAAAAGGACACCTATGATACTGTGGATGGACGACATCCTGCACCACTCTTAAATCCATGGGAAACCATTGTTTGTTGGTATTTAGAGGGGAATCATCGTTTCATGGTTTTATTTTTTTAGGTGGTGCAGGAAATCGTCCATCCACAGTATGGGCATTTGCATCATTAGTGTTCCCCTCAAGTCATGATTCCCACTCTTCTTTTAGGGACACCCCCATATTACTAAACAGATTAATCCTTCTAACACCCCTCTAAACAGATTTAGGGACCAAGATCCGGGGTGTCCCTAATCTGTTTATGGTGTCCCATGTGTCCCAGAAATCCGGGATTCCGGGTCAGGCATAGGGTCAGGGGTCCAGTCGCTCGCTAGGCGCGGCATGCTGCCGCGGGGCTCCGTGGGCCTGCAGCGCCTCGAAGCGAAAAAGTTGCTCGCGGGGCGTTTGGAGCCTCCTTGGGGATCCGATTTTTTTGGTTTACCCCGTGTTGACCCCGTGTTGACCCGCTCACTTCTTGAGTTCCGTGTTACTCCGACTTGTTCGTCACCCTTGAAAGTTGGACCATGGTGAGGCTTGGTTTGGCCCGTCCACTCACAGGCTTGGAAAGCTCCCGGACCAAAAGTTCGCAGGGCTGCTCCCCAGAATATCAACGGAAGTCCCAAAACGGGTTCCATTTCCCAAAAGGAGCTTCCTCCATGGATCGGCGTTGTTTTTTTTTTCTTCTTTTTTCGGATCTGTGGAGTAAATGGTGATTTTTGCCTTTTTCTCAAGGCGAACCGACGGGATCGATCCGACCTTTGGCTTCCTCGTTTTGGTCCTTGCTCATTACCCAGACGCTCCAATTCGATGCATTTTGGGCCTTCAAACAGCCATTTTGGGCCTGACAGCCAGGTTTTGAGACCCCAAGCCCCCGCAAAGCTGTCAAAGCCAGGTTTTGAGACCCCAAAAACGCCCCTCTGGGGTGTCCAATGGAGGGTCTGGGTCTTCCATTGGCCGAAGCCGATCGGAGCGTCTGGGTAGTGTAGCTCATGACTCAGGGTCTCAGACTGTAGGCTTGGATTTGTCGCGAGGTTTTTAAGGAAACCAAGAGCAAATTCATGGTGCGCCTTTGGGACTCTTGCGTTTTGGTGGGTTGCAAAAGGAAACCCAGCGGAAACCAAACAGTTGGCTTTCAGTTTCGCTCAGTCTTGGAGAGCGGGGTAAGCCCAAACAATGGTTGTTTCATACTCTACTCCAAATCCAAACTTGTGAGCCTTGGGGGAATCATGGAACTACCCTCCTGTCCACTATCATGTAACTCACCAGGGGGTCCATTTTTGCTGGAACATGTTCGTCCAGCCCCCCGAAACGTCAGGTTCCATGTTTGTGGATGCCCCAGTACTGGTACTACGTACTCTGAAAAATGTTTAACTCTGTTGCCCAGTTTTTTTGGGGGGCCGGGTTCCCCTTCAATAGTTAAACTCAACCAACCAAAACAGGATGGTCTGTTTTTCCCATGGCCACTGGGCATTTGAGTTCAAGGTCAAACAACTGACTAGACCTTTACTTGTTCAGCTTGCGTTCAATCGCCCCCAGGTTGCCGAGAAGTAAAACGGGGCCGACGGCCGCACCTACGCTTCGTCAAAATGAGGCAGGGAGAGCCATGTTTTTTGCAACACATGGCGATTCTGGGCTAGACTTAGGATACTTTCTACATTTTACCAGTGACTCCATGTGAAGCAAACAATAAAATATACATTCTATATCTGGGCCTAGCTCTAACCATGGATTTGTTGGCCGCATAGCTTGCGTCCAGCCTGGTTTGTGAACCCCGCTCCTGGGGCTTCCAATGGAAGACCCAGACCTTTGATTGAACACCGACGCCCCTCTGTTGGGGTGTGTGAGGGTCTCAAACGACCCGGCGAAATCGGGCCCAAAAAAGAATCATGGAATCGGAGCGTTCGGGGATCCGCAGCCATGGGATCCCCATGGGATCCCAAAAGCCCCAAAAGCATCGCGAGCACCGAGCTTGGCTGCCCCGCGGTTGTGAGGATGTATTCTGCCTATTTTACGGCGAGCACACCGATTCGCGGGGAAAGCAAGCGAAAGCCATGACAAAGATCCTTTACTTGCGGATCCGGGTTTCGGAATTATTGCAAAAATTGCAGATGCACATGTTAAAACCATTCATGCCGTATAGTGAGCTTTGAGCTGTTCTCATTGCATGAAACACACGGCCAAAAAGTTGGCAGCAGGATATCACATGGCTTCTTCTGCTGTGTGCGCGTGCCGATTGCAAGCACTGCTCCACACAAACACGTCTCATAGCCTGCTCGTAGCCAGTTCTCACAATCTGTGTTCCACATAGCCAACTTCCTTTTGGGAAAGACATCCGCCTAGCCTCCGCGTATGTGCTTCCATTGCAAATTAATGTCCCAACCCAACAAGCAAGCCAAAGGCGGTGATTGCTCCTTTCCCAAGCGATGTTTTTCCCAGAGCATGGAAGCTGCCCCTGTCAAGCCGCAGCTTCCGGGCCTCTGGGAACGAAGGAACCTTTCTGCAGCCTTTCCAAGGGAGGTGTCGGCACCCGTGTCTATTTCGAAATACATCCAAAACGGCGGTGTCCTTTTAAATTCTCTGACCAGCCTAAGGGGGGAGCCCTCAAAAAGAAGAAGGAAGACACCACCTGGTTTGTTGTTCCTTCCAGTGCCCTTTTTCGGGAACACCTCCAAACCCAAACAGAAAAACACGAAAACCCACGCCACACCTCGCGCCTTGCGCGCCCTTGCCGCAGGGGCCGCGGATGCCGTCGCTGAAGGGCTCCATCGTCATGGCCATGAAGCCCAAGCAGCGCCCGCAGCCGCCGTGGCGCCCGGCGGGGAAAGCGCCCAAACCCGTGCCACGGAAGGCCAAGGGGCGGAAGGGAGGTTTGGGGTGTGGGGGAGGTGAAGGCGGGTGGGCTGTCTTTAGTTTAAAGGGGCCCTGGGTTGTTTTTTCCCTTAAAACTAGCCAAAATGGATTCAAATGAGAGTTGTGGCAGTCGTTTTTTAGGTTGGAGTCCCTAAAATCATAAGTTATCCTGATGGATTGTCTCCTTAATTAAGACCAACAAAAAGGTGGTGCCCCTTGAACAAACCACACTCTCATTGTGTGTGGAGTGAAGCTAGAAGTGGAATACGTGTTTGTTTGTTTACTTGTTTGTTTGTTTGTTTGTTTGTTTGTTGTTTGTCTGTCTGTTTGTCTGTCTGTCTGTCTGTTTGTCTGTCTGTCTGTCTGTCCGTCTGTTTGTTTGTTGTGTTTCATGGTGTATCAAAACCTGCGAAGTAATGCTCAGCATTGTGCCCAAGCATCAGTTGCGCTGCAGCGAACTTGACGCCTTTGAAGGTGCAGGGCAGAACTGCGGACCCAAGCACAGCCGGCGTTTTTTTTTTTGCGTTGTTCGAGGCGTAACTTCCCCATTCTTTCCAGGGATCCTTCTTTCTAGAAAACCACCAAAAAACCTCTGGGGAAATGGCAGGTGTTTGAAAAGAACGATGGCTGAAAAGAATGGGGAATCAACCCCTAGAGTTGTTGCCTTTCGGTTTGAGTAATTGCTTCGGGGCGGCGCCTTAAGTCCGAGATGCCTAAAACATATTTTCCAAGATGGAGGTGTCATTTGCGTTGAACAAGTTATGTTGCTGATCAATGCCCTGACTTTTAAAGCATATGGCTTGCCGGGTGCCGAACGATCCACCGTTAATTGCACATTAGTCCAGAACCCTTGCTCAAGCAGGTCACATCAGCTCCTAGCTTGGCTCACCGGGACGATTTTGCGGTCTTCCTGAGCTCACTTCCTTCCTGTTCAAGTCGGTCTCGTTGATTTGGAGCTCAGGCCCGCTTTTCTTCAGAAGTTCTGATCCCTAGGTCGCAAGCCGCCATTCCTGAAGTCGACTTGAGATACATTTTCACATTTTACCGGTGACTTAAAGTGAAGCAAAAAATAAAGTATAACATACATTTTACTGTTTACCAGCTAACTCGATAGGCAACTGGACCTAACTCGATAGGCATGACTGCCTCTCGGCTGCAAGGCTGAGAGCGCAAACAAACTGGAATTTCCTGCTGAGCCATCTTCGCCTGATGGCCCCCCATGCGTTCATGCGTTGGCTTGAAACTCGCCCGGATGGACCAGGTGGCCCCCCTGCCGAACCGCACGCTGCCGAAGAAGACGGGCCCCAGCTCGGCCCCTGGCATCGTGCCGCTGAAGGGCTCCGTGGCTTGGCCAAATGGATCTGGGTCCCAAAGGGATGGAGCACATATTGCATATATATATATATGTGTGTGTGTGTCTGTATATGTTTTGAGATATAGGTGTGGGTTAGGGGGGGTGACCACACAATATATATATATATAGGTTTGGATCTTTGTGAGGATGGCGGCCTTTGGGGGAATTCATGGAACCGCTCCTGGGGCTTGTGTGAGCCCTTTGATAACTAGCGAGACGAACGAGGTTATAATCCAAGCCCAAGAACCTGATCAATAGAAGAAACTCCCTTGGGGAAGTGAGCGCCCCGTGTTGGTTCTTTGGGTTCCAAGTGTTGAGCCCATATTAATGCCCATATGAATCAACCCCAGTTGATGAATAGGAGGGGTCCCTTGGTTTAGTGGGAACTCAGACCACTTTTGGAGGGGTTTTCACCTAGGGTTAGCGGGGAATCAGACCGCTTTTGTATCCGTCCAAATGATAGCGTGAATGAGGACGGATGAAGAGATGGCGTGTCTTTCCTTTATCCTCGTTCTCCGTTTTTTTTGGTAGGACGAGCCATCAGCATGAAGTGTAGTGGGGAAGCAGACCACTTTTGCAGCACTTTTCACCTGGGTTGGGGAATCAGACCGCAATGGAGGGATCAGTAGGAGGGCGAACCCGAATGCTCCCGGGGCTTTCCGCCAGGTGGCCCTTGCGAAGGCCGGGCCAAAAGCCGCCAAGAAGAAGGCCCTGTGGGTTCGGGGGCTCGTGCGAGACAGGGGGAGACATGCCCGTCCAAAGTGGGGTGTCTCTCATAAAAACGGTATGTGCCAGGGTAAGTTGCTTGATTTGCGTGAAAATTATTTGTGGCTTGTTGTAAATGTTGCTAGCTTGTGGTAAGCATTGGTACCATTGTCATTATGTTTTTGCTAATATCCTGTGGAGAGAGGGCCATTTTGAGAAAAACATGTCGTTGTGGAGATGGGGCTGTCGCACAAAGGGATTCTTCCACGCGGCAGCTGACACAGGATGAATTCTTTGTGGAGGCAGGGCCTTGTTTTGAAAAACCTACCCGCTTTGCTATCGTGGGACGTTCAAAGGGATGGCTCACCAGTGAGTTGAGCTTAAGCGAAGAGTTGGTTTTCGCCCTCATTCAAAGCCCCCAAATGTTCTCCGCCACGCCTTTTGCGAACCTCGAGCTTGTGGTGCTGTGGGCAATTCCATTGCAAGTCAAAACCTCCCATCGCGCTCATTGGCAAGTGGGTATTTGTGTCACAAATCAACCCCAGGTTGCGATCAGTGTCCCTCAGGCCAAATATTTGTCATGTCCGTCGCGATTTTTTTTGGGCATACAGGCATTTAGGTGGTGGCAAGGTGGGAAGCAATGCATGAAAACGTAAAATCTGAAAGTTGGGTCCTGCAGGTTTTTGGATGCTTGGCCCAAATCGGCTTCTGCAAGCCCTGCGTATTTCAAAGCAAACCTACTGATTCACGGGTTCATTTGCCGCCGGAATTTGTCGTTCTTTGCGCGTATATGTTTGAAGGTGGGGAAAAGAGCCAGTTCCTAGGGCTGATTCCTAAAGGAATTGCCTCCCAAAGGGGAAGTCCCTTGGCCGAACAGGTCAAAGATAGAATTAACCCCTTCCCCCTAATATAAAACGTCCCCCCCCCTCCCCCCCCCCCCTAATATAAAAAAAAAAACCGAGGTTTGTATAATTAGGGGTCCCCTGTTCAGCTTTCGGAACTTTAGGGCAGCATTTGGGAGTAGCTTGGTTTTAGTATTGGTTATCAGTGGGAATGTGTTCCCCCCTTTCCGGGCACCAAAAACCATTCAACTAATTGTTTTTGAGTAAGGGATTTAAATGGAAACGGTGACCTTTTTTTTGGGGGGGAAACCTCGTGCTTGAGTACTCCCGGAGCTCCGGCTCGAAAGTCGCCTTTGTAGTACAAGCGTAGTAAAGGAATCGTACTTTGATTTCTGGACGAGGGTTTTTATTATTAGGGAGACCTTTATAATTAGGAAGAAGGGATTATCTTCTGCAAACAGGCTGTTGATTCATCAGGGCATTTGGTGCTTCCCGGAGTAAAGTGAAGACATGCTTGTGCTTCAGCTGCGGTGCGCTTCTTGTGTTGTTTTGTTCTTTTGGTTTGGGGGGATAACATATGCAACTCACTCCCGAAGTTCCAGGACTTCAACCCTGTTGGGAAGACCATTTCAGTGGCAACCAAAACGTTTGGTGTTACTTTTTTGGGCCAATCCGCTGGATCGGCGGCGATGTCAAGCCTTTCCGTTTCCCGCCCCAGCGCCGCGGCCGAAGCCGGTTTCGGTTTCCTCGGGAGGTCCCAGGCCCAGCGCTGCGCGGCTCGGTGGCGCAGATGCTGAAGGCGGCCAAGCCCCTGAAGGCCCGAGTTCGCGTTGTTGGCAACGGTTTGCATGAACACCGAAGTCGATCGGCTTGGATCCTTTTCTTTGGTGCAGTTTGCCAAGGGATGTTAGGACTTTAGCTTTTCGCCAACTAATGGGTTTTCCGAACGAAACCACTAAAAGTTAAACTTTTAGCAGGGGAGCAGAAAGCAACCGAGCCCTGAAGTAAAGGAGGACGGGGAGTCCCTTTCAGGAATCCACTTGTTTCGTCCAGTAAGCGAGCGTGGGCCCAGGCCCCGGTGAAGGTGCGCCCAGTACGCCCAGTCCGCCCGCCGGCGCCCAAAACCGCGGCAACCGCCGGGAAGCGCACGCGGCCCGGCGGCCTTTTCTTTTGGGCGCGGAGGGGTATCCGCTCAACGACTTGTTGCCAGTTCATATACTGCCACCCGAGACTACTAGACCGGCTGCATAATTTCAAGTGCATTTTTTGCCTGCGAGGAATGCATAATGCCATGAGTTGAATGTTTCGGGTTGCGAGCTATTTGGGTGTGGAGTGTATGCCTTGTTTTCACACATCCTGTTATTTGTCGAATTGAAAAGCATACGTGCAATGGGCAAAGTGGGAGGATTTGTGGAGTTGCAGACAGGGTCTACATAATATGTTTCCTTGGATAGCGGAAAGGTCTGGAAGAGCCCTGTTTCGGAAGACCAAAGTCGCATGGGAGATAGCCCCTGCCGCCAAAATGCAAAGATATTGGGTTGGGGAAAGACCAAAACCGCCGCGTTTATGGAAGTTCGGGCCGTCGGGTGTTTTATGGTGTTTTGTTTGCTGCTTCGCCGAGTACCCTCGCACGACTGACCAGCATTTCACCAGTTGGGTGTTTTTCTCAGGGAACCCCCTCCCCATTTGCACTCAAGTGCTGAAAACCATCCAACCAAAAACGGTACCAACTCAAAAAGAATAACGCCTTTCTCGCAAGGGCCCAACAAAAAAGGAGGACCCACCCTTTTACCCCCTTTCTCCTCGCTGGCACCCGGTACCAACTCGCAAAAACCAAAGCCGAGCGACGTCGTTCCGCGTGCAGTTCATTCGCCCAGGCGGAACCTGCCGGACGCCTGGGAAAGCCTGAAAAAGCGGCGCCATGACAAGCCCATGGAGGAACCACGATCGACGAGCTATGGGCAAGGGGACTTTGGTTTTGGTCTGGGCAAAAGGTGTTTCCCCTTGGGGGCAGTTGTGCATATATATATATATATATCTATATGCTTGTGTTTGTGTTGTTTGCTTGCTTGCTTGCTCGCTTGTTTCTTTGTTTGTTTGTTTGTTTGTTTGTTTGTTTGTTTATTTGCTTTTTTACTTTTAACGTTGCGCTGCGTCACCGTCAGAAGCTGGGGTGATCCGCGCCACTTTAACCTGGACAGGTCTGAGGCCTCGGGACCCATTGACATAGGAATTCAAAGATTTTGTTTGGAGAATACGATGGCTGCAGGCAGCGCTAGTTGATGGTTTGGATTTGGATTTGAAGCGGCTTGAGTAGCCGTGTCGTCTTTCATTTCGTGGTGCTGCAAGCACCCAACGGATTTTTCACAGGGTTGCCATGGGTTCCCGCTGTTCGATTTTGCACCTTTCTGATTTCCAGCTTAACCACGCACTACTTAGTACAGGGGTTGGCAAACGGCTGGAGGGCGGCCGAGCTCCCGCGTGCAAATGGGATATGTCCTACAGAGGATCTTGCAAACATGCAAAATTTTGGAGGGCTCCCCGCCCCCCCAAAAACAAAGAAAAGCAACACCCCTAAACCCGGTTGGAAAGTTAGCCAAGCAACGTTGCCCCGCCCCCATTTGTACGCAGATACCGCAAGGACCTGGAGTTTCCCTCAGCAGAGCTCGAGGAAGAGTTTGAAGAAGTGGAGGTAGAGGTGGAGGAAGTCGTCCACAGGAGCGAATCGCGACCTCGCAAGCCAAAAAAAAAAACGGAAACACACCTCCGAACATGGTCGATATTTTTCTTTAACGGGGTGTCTTCGGTTTGGGGGGTCCCTTGAAGGGGGTGCAGTACGTGTTGTTTTCCAGGCCCTTGGTGGTTGGGATGGGTTTGGGTGAAGCCCAGCCACCAAGCCACCACCAAACCACAGGTCTTCGTCGTTGTTCTTTTCTGGAAGCTCCAAAAGTGGCAATGGACACAACCAGTAGGTTGCAATTGTTGAAGGGGAATCCAGTCACCCCCCCTATAGTTGGTAAGGCGATACTTCAATCATCCTGTTCCGGATGCCATCTTTGGTGGGGTTGGCCTACGATCAACTCAGCTACTTCGTGGTGAATGGTTTTAAGCCTGACCTACCCTTACATAAATATAAATTTATGTATAGCTATATACAAGCCTGCCAGTTTCGTGTTTCCGCATGGCTCAAATGAGAGCGCATGCATATTTCGACCAGGGCAGGGCTCGCGTAACGTGAACCCCGGATTTAATAAACCCCTGGTTGATTCATAGGGGGGGTGTCCCCTTTTAGTTGGGATTCAGACCACTTTTGGAGGGGTTTTCACCCCCCCAATGGGAGGGGTTTATGAATCCTGGGTCAACATGACATCTCCATCAGCCTTCAAGGGGTTGCTGGCTTCTCCGGCCGGGCGATAGGTGGATGGGGCTTCCCCGCGCAGGAACCTGAAGCCGAAGCAGCGGACCCCACAGCCGCCGCCGCCGCCGAAGCCGAAGCGGAAGATTGTCTTCAAGGAGGTCTCCTGGCAGCTTCACAGGCAGGCCAAGGTGCTGCTCTCTCGAAGAAATCGGTTTTGGGGAATTTAGAGTTACGATTGTCCCAGCTGAGAGGCGACTTTCCCAGCTGAGAGGCGACTTTCCCAGCTGAGAGGCGATGGCGGCACATGCAAGCACAGAGCACATGGACACACACACACACACACACTTTTATGAAGACCAGGGCCTTTTGGCCCTGGACCAAACCCCACAACAGATATATTATGACGCTTATGGGCAGTGTTTCTCAAGTGGCTATCATTCTTCGGCGAAGCTTTTGGCTGGCTGAGGCTTCCCTTTCGCGTGAGTACTGCACGAAGGTTGGGCAATTCAGGGTGTCCTTCATTTCCCTTTTTGGATCCTCCAAAAGTTGCAGTTTCAGTGGAAAGCTTCAACTTTTGGAGGGGAAATCCAGTGCCCCCTGAAAGTGGTTCATGACTTTTTAGGGGTCAAAGGCATTCACCAGACCACTTCCTTGGTTTGCAAAGCCCGGGATTTTTTTGAAATTTGGGTTGTACGGCAGCCGGCTTTCGCCCGAGTACAGTTGTCTTAAGGGTAACTGGTTGTTCCCCAGACCGTTGACCTTGATCTTCTCTTCACTGCTCTTGGCAAGTTGTTTGGTTTTTAGCGTGTCGGTTCTGCTTACTTTTGGTGGGGGGCTCGGAAACAAACCAGTCAGTCTGTATCAGTCTGTTGCGTTTCCATACCAAGAGTTGGCCATGATTGACATCAGAGGAAATAGACCTGAGCTGTGCAGTAGAAAGCGTTGGGCGCAACTTGTTCAGGGATCCAACTCTGATCCAGAGCTTCTTCGGATCCCCTTTCAAAAAAAGGTTGCGCCCCGAAAACGATCCTTCCACCTACCCATCCATCCACCCACCCCATGTTGTTTGCGGGGAGTGGCTCGGCCTCATCCGAGCAACGCTTAGGTGAAGGCCCGTCTTGTTCACAAAGACCAGCAGAACCGCTTCTGGGAGTCCCTTTGCAGCCTCTCCGTGGCGAATGTCCAAGGAAGACTCCGGGGAAGCATCCAGAGCCTCAGAAAAATACGCCGCCGAGTCGATCGGGTCACCCCGGTCGGGTCCTCCGAATGGTCCAGCTCTCGTTATCCGGCCGGAAATGTTTGAAACCCAAAGATGAATGGAGCTGCACGCAACAATGTTTGTCACATAGAGGATGCTTAATGCACGGTCTGGGTCGCCAGCAATGGAACGGCGCTAATGTGGGACATGCCTTTTTGAGATGGGGCAAGAAAGAATGGAGCGCTCCTCCTATGCCCTAGGGTGATATATTGATGATGAACCAAAAGGGCACGGGTGATAGACAAATAGCACTGTCTATTGCTTTGCCCGGACTAAAAACTTAGCCTTCACTACCAGCATCGCCAGATACCCCTGCAACGAGCCAATGTCGATTGAAATCCATGGCTTGTTGCTACCCCGCCTTTGGAAGCTCCACGAATGGAACTCAGTGTTTCCAAGGGACATGCGTGGGCCGGGTATGACCGTTGTCTCGTGTGTGTGTTGTTGGTTTGCTTCTAAGGGTTTGCTGGTTTGGGTTTGACATTGACGTCAGGTCTCGCTTTTGGGTGACCCTGAGCTGGGCAAGTCTTTCCCTTCGTGCGGCACAGAAACTGCTGTGCCTTTTTGGCCAGGGTCAAGCGGCTTGTGGGAGAATTTCGAGGCTGAAGGTGCGATTCCGTGAAGTTGGGTTGGTCGGGTAACCCCAACCCAGCAAGTTAACATGGAGCCCCAGAGAAGTGCATGCATCGGGCTACTGCACGATGGCAAGAACTAAGCCAAGCAACCTTCAGCTCAAAAAAATGCCAAACACATTTGACCTCAACCCCTGCAGCGGATCTCATGGTGGTGCGAAACAAAGCCCTAAATGGGTTTGTGGTGTTGTGTGGCCTTTTCATATGGGTTCCAAACCAAAAGGAAAACCACCTCTCTTTTTTGGGTGGGGCAGGGGAGGGGTGATCTATTTTGACGCATGCCAGATTGCAAAGAAGTTTACACGATGCCGCAAAGAAGTTTACACGATACATGTCTCGCTGTAGGCACACTGCGCTTTGCCAAAGGTGCCGTGCTATGTGTGCCTGTCGGGTTGAAAGGGAACCAGACCTGACTGCTGCACTTTTGTGTAGATCGCCTCAGTCCATTTTGCAGGAGGTGGCACACCAATAAATTCCAAGGGCAAGTGTTGTATAGATAGACAGGCAACTGCATAATCTTCCAGGGTTACTTTCTCGTGATGTTGTCTCTTCAGGGCTTCCTGAAGAGATCTTCTATACTTGTCCTTTTGTTTAAGAAGAACCTGCTTTTGATTTCCCCCCCCCAAAAAAAAAAAAGAAAGAAAAAGAAACAAAAGCCAAACACAAGTAGTTGGACCACGGAAGTAGTTTCCCAAAGGGATTTGCAAACTTGGCCTCTGAAAGTGCCACGTGTTTCTGCTTCGACAAAGCGCTGGCTGGCGATTTTCAACTTTACCATATGATTGCCATCAAGCACTCAACAATGGTGCAGAGAGTGGGTCCCGGTCTCTCACTCCGGAGCCTGACTCTGTTGCAGAACCGCTCCATTTTGGAGTGGTCATATGATTGTTTTTCAGAATTGTGGACCTCCTTTTGGTTGGTATTTAAAGATCCTTCAGGGAAGCCACAAGGAAACCAAGCATTTAGGCGACCATTCTTGAGAAGCGCCTACGTGACCGTCTTGGAAATAACACCAGAAACAGACGGGACACACCCTGGAACAGGGGGATTTGAACCCCTGGTTCTGGGTCAACGGAGAAGGTAGCCTGTAGGCACGCTCACGTTGGTGTCATGAAATATCTGCCCAATGTCCGTTCAACTGGATGCTTAAAACATGATGTTCCATAAAGGACACAAAAACAGGAAGAGCTGGTTTTAGTCTTTTTCCCAGTCCACCTATTTTCGGGCAACCTTCAAGTAATTAGAGGGTAAATGGGAGACCACCAATCCAAACCAATCCCAACCTTGTTTGAGGGAAGCGGACATGTCTATGAGTTTCAACTGGAAACTAATTGAAAAGTGACTGGTGGAGATTTGAATCCCCTAAATGATGTCCACCCTGGCTCCCAATTTAAAATTCATACCCAGATGTAGACACAAAAGATCACAACAGGAGTCTCGGGCATCGAAACAAATTCCCTGTCCGACTCGATCGGATTTGGATCCATCGAGGACCAAGTTGTCAGGGCACGGCCTGCTGGATGAGGAGCGAACCGGTGGTGTTGTATATTTTGGGGTTTTCGGATAAGGAGCTTTTTGTAACTGGCTGGTTTTGTTTCCGGTTTCCCTTTGTTTTGGTCTTTTGGTTGGTTTACCAGCAGGTTTTCTCAGAAAGGGTCCCCAGAAACAAGTTGTGCCTCAAAAAACCAAGTTCCCGTCTAGGCCATTGGCACAGGGCGATTGGCACTTCCTGAGATCCTGGACTTTAGCCCGGATTTCAAGCGGGCAGCCGCTTCTGGAAATGCCGCGGTGGGATTTGTGCAATGGTGTTAAGCCGGTCCCACAGGACCCCCCCCCAATACTTAACCTGGAATTCATTTCAAAAGAAATAGCAAACAAAGAAACACGTGTTTAAAACAAGATGATCAAAGAGGAACGCATGGTGTGAAACATGTCCTGACAGCCAACCCAAAATTACGGAGAGTATTGCTGGAGACTCCTTTTCATTTTGTATTGATAATTCATTTGTTTCATTTAGTAGTGTCGAATTTCAGTTTCGATTTGATTTAGTATTGCTGGAGCTTCCTTTGCAGGTGCGGCTCAGGTGGCCCCAATGAAGACCATGGGGTACCTCATGTGAGTCATAATCAAAACCGGGTATTAAAATGGTCGACCCAGAACCATGTAAAGAATTAAGACGGCGGCCGCAGCTATTTCTGGCTGGGACTGCCCCTTACTAACCTTCATCTACCCGGGTTTTGAGCACGTGGCTCATGTGACCTCAGACCATCACTGATTAAAGAAGATTGGTTCAAAAGTTTGCACTTTCAGACAGTCACAGTTGTTTCAGTTTTCCGGAGTCCTGGCTGATGTTTGCGTTGGCACTGCTTCACGGCGTTACTCGTGCAAAGCTGGCAGCTTGCGTTGACACTGCTTCGCGGCGTTGCTCGTGCAAAGCTGGCAGCTTTCTTGGCTTTGGCATTCCAAAGCCAATAGACAACAAATGAAAAAACAAAGCAGGGTAGTATTTGCGTTGACCGGAAGGCAGCAGCGGCATCACCAGATAACTATAATCAACATCTCAAAAGGAAGCTCCAGCAAGACTAAATCAAATGGAAACATGGACCGAAGCTCCTTTTGAAATCCTTCCGCAGTTCTCATCCCCAATTGAAAAGTTGTGCCACCCAATACTAAGGTAGACCTCCCTAAGTATTCAGTTCCAGAATCTGATTCTTGGAGGGGAAAGCGTGCCGGACGTTCTCAGGGGGGCTAGACTCGGATGTCAACATCATATATGACAAGGTGACATATATTTAGGGCGGAAAGAAAGGGGAGCGCTGATACATGAGAGTGTTCACGGCTAAACTGGAGGCTGAGAAACGGGGTCGCAATGTTTCAAGGGATCCCAAATGACGTCGCAGTCCCCACCTCGTTTTGTGCAGGACTTGGCGCAGTTTGTGAGCTGGCTGCGGATGCATCCAAGAATGGGCGCCTCGGTCTCAGCCGTAGACACCCGTCAAGTTCAAGGTTACTTGTTACGTGTCCTGTTTCTTTTTGGAGTTGGTACCCAATTTTTCTGGGTGAATTCATGGATCTTGGTCATAGATCTTGTTTTGTTTGGAGTTGGTACTCAATTTTCTGGGTGAATTATCGAAAAATGAAAGGAGCACCGAAGATAGTAGGGTTCGCCTACAATAGACAATACCCGGCTGGTCCAGCTCAATGCACCCGTTGCATTGAGCAGAAGCCGGCAGATGCCTAGCTGAGGTGGCCAAAAAAAATTCAGAGCATAGGAGTCCGTTTTGGGTTAGTCTCACTCCCCGAGTTCCTTTATTTAAGACTTTTTGGGAAGACCATTTTAGTGGTAACAAGCTCAGACATTTTTTAGCCCATCCACTCGATCGGGAGTGAGTACTTAGTTTGCTTTGATGTTTTTTTTCCAGGTCCCCCATGATCCAGACAGGGCGATGTTGCTAGATTGCTTTCGCTCCATATCTCGTCGGCTTACCGGCAAGGGAAATACGAGGATTCCTCCAATGAAAGGCGGGATGTGACCCCAGGCTTCTGAGCTTGCACGAAGGTCCGGTTCCTCATTTTCAGCAGGCTGTGAACTGATTTGCCCCTGGCTCTCGGATTCCTGAATTCAGGTGTTGCAATATTTGCGCATTTTGGAGCAAGTTCGACGTTGAGATCCTAAGAAGCTAGCAGGAAGCTAGCCATGGTATTTGGTGGGCACCCTCCCACCAACTAACATGGAAGTGCAAGCAGGCCCTTTCCAAGAGGAAAGTGGTCTTTCTACATGGGTCTGTGCACAAACCCATGTTCGCTGGAGGGTATCTTACCTGAACACATGTCCATGAACCCCTTGTTCCAGTGGAAGTGGACAGAAGGGCTTAAGACTGCCATCTCACCTGTCAGCTTCCAGGTGCTGGGTAGTGAAAATGGGAGCTGGCAATAGATGGAAGCCAAACGCGAGCCTCGGCTTCCTGGTGTCCCTTAACCAGACGAGCCACCCTGCAAATTGACATGGATTCGCAAACTAGACTCAAAAATGGGGACATGACTCTATATGTTTAGGGCAATCTCCATTTTTTTTTGCGGTACCCCCTGCACCCATACCCGCCAGAGAAATGTTTGTTTTTTGTTTTTTAGGAAAATGCTCTTCCACAGTCCTTTTTCGTGGGAAGACTAGACTAGATCCCCCAGGATCGTGCCCTTTCTTTTACCGATTCTTTTTTGGGGGAGGGTTTCCCGAGTGAAGTAGACAGAAAAAGAATCGGGTACCCTTCTTCCAACCTCTCTACTGGAGGACCTAGTAGAAGAATGAAATTGGGGACCCCCACCAATCCCCCAGAAGGTGGCGGGGATCCATTTGGGTGTGGGTCAAAATTATACCAGGACGCATGTCTTGGCCCATGTTGCTACTTACCAGGGTTCCATTTTGGGTACCTATTTTTGACCCACAGCCATTTAGCCAATCGACAGGTACCGCCCACAGCTGGGCCTGGCGCAGCGTGGATGTCGCGCAGAACCAGCTGACCCAAACCAGCGTCACGCTGCTCTGCGGATTTCTGGACCAGTTCCAGGCACAAAGAAAGAGAAATCCGAAGAGACCCGTGGTTTAGAGTTGAGAAGGAAGTTGGTGTCGTGCTCCTTCTCCACGTGCCCCCTTCCAAAAGCACATGGCCAGGCCCCCGAATACCCAGCCCTTCTGCGGAAGAACCAACCTAAGCCCTCTGGTTCCGAAGCACACGAGTCAAATCTCACGAGTCAAATCTACTCATTTCGAGTTCTTTTTCATGGTTCCTGCGGTATGTCGGTGGAGCTCCACGAAAAAAACCCGAAAACCCCAAACCGGTAAAACAATCTCAACCCTAAAAACCCGATGCCTGAACCCTGAAAGTCCTAAACCCTGAAACTCTATTCCCCACAATCCCTAAACCTAACCTTAAAAAAACTAAACTATATTCCTAAACTTGAAACCTAAACCTTAAAAACTCGAGCCCCAAACCTAAACCCAAAAAACCCTAAACCCTAAACATAACGAAGCCTAAGCCCAGAAACCAGAAACCTATATCCTCAAAACCCTTAAAACCTCTAAACTTTGAACACCTCAGACTCTAAAGCCCAAAACTCCATCCCCTAACAGCCCGAAACCTAAACCCAAAAACTCCTAAACCCTTAACCTAAACCCTTAAAAACCCTAAACCCTAAACTGAAACCTAAAACAAAAAACACGAAACCTAAACCCAATCAGTTTTAGACTTGACTTTTAAAAGTTTAAAATCCTGAAACCTTTATGCCCTAAACCCTAGAAAGCCACAATGCCTAAAAAACCGAATCCCTAAACCAAAAATCCCTAAACCTAAGCCCTAAAATCCCCGAAGCCCAAACCCTGAAACCCGAAACCTAAACCCTAACAACCCTAAGCCCCAAAACCCAAAACCTAACCCCTAAAAACCCTAACCCCTAAGCACGGTATACCCTAAAAACCCTAAACCTAAACCAAAAAATACTAAGCCGTGGAAACGGCAAACAGCTGAAAACCCGAACCTTAAATCCAAATCCCTAAGCCCCAAAATTCCCTAAGCCCGAAACCTCAACCGGAAAAAACCCGAAACCGTAAACCATTCCCAAACAAACTCAAAATCTAAACCCTAAAAACCCTCAACCTAAACCCAAAAACCCTAAACCCCAAACCTAAAACCTGAAAGCCTTAAACCGAAACCCAAAACCCGACACCTAAAACCCGACACCTAAAACCTTGAAACCCAAACCCCTAAATAGACGAAAAACCGTAAACCCTCAAAACTCGAAACCTAAGCAGCCTGAATGAAACCCTGAAAGCCCTGAACCCAAACCCAAAAAGCACAAACCCTAAACTCACTCAATTCTCACGAGTCCAAGCTGGGTTTCGACCAGTGTTCTTTGGCAGTGTTGAAAAACGTGGAAATACCGGCACATTTGACTGAGAAATGAGCGAAATGAGTGTGTTTGTCAGAATTTACAGAGCTCCGTGCGTGAAAAGCGTCGATGCAAATCCTCAGTTCCCAGAAGCCAAGTGGGCCGGGGGTGTCCCCCGGAAACGGGGTTCAGGCTTTTGAAGGCCTCGCTTCAGTTTACTTCGGGGCCTTTCAACCCGAACTCATCCGAAATGTTGACCCCAGATGAATTTCAAGCCCAGTTTCCAAAGATATGGGGGTGTTCCACTCCAAAATGATTCCCCACTGAACCCAGGTGGACACCCTTATGAATGAAGGGGGTTGATTCATATGGGGTCACATCGGAGGGGACGACATTGGGGACACACCAAAACACCAAAAAAGGCTTCCAAACTCCCATCGGGACGTACGTGGGATAATTTCAGGCATGATTTTGCAGATCTGAGCCAAGCGTTGGACTCGAGCTTTCACTTCCGTACATTCCTACCCATATGGGGGCTGCGGGCAAAAGGAGGGGGAAAGAGCCCAAATAAGCGACCATATTTTTCACGATCCCATATTTGTGTGGTACATTCCGACGACCCTCTTTGGGGTCCAAAGGCTTGTGGTCTTACCCTTGGACAATTCCTATTTATCCTAAGACCCTATTTTGAGGTCCTTTGGGCCCTCATTTTCTTGGTGGCTCCTAGCCATCCCCTTAGCCTTTTAGCTTTTTATTGTTTAGTGGGGATTTCCATTTCACCCACTAAAAGTTAAAAAGTTTTAGAGGGATCTGAGGACAACCCAGTTTTGTGGTCTTACCCGGTAACGGCCAGGTGGAGGTCCAAGAGTTCCACTTCGAGGACAACCAGATCGACGACATCGGCCTGGACCGCCTGGCGCAGTTCGTGTCCTCGGAGGCGGCGCCCATCAGGGCCATCTTCCTGGACAACAACCGGATCACCGCGCAGGCGGGAACCGAGAAAACAGGAGTCACGGAAAGCACGGGGCACGTTTTTGTTGCGTTTTGTGAGGTCCCCGAACGTTGACCCGGTATGAAGAAACCCGTCCCATGATTAGGGGGCGAAAACCCCTCCAAAATCGGTCTGAATCCCCCGCAAAAAGGAATTGGACACCCGGGGTTATCGGAAAGCACGGTGTTTGCTTTTTTTGTTAAGTCCGAAGTACCGGAAAGGTAGAGTTCCTTCCTTCTTGAGTCCCGCGTTGTTTTTCTTTTTGTCAGGTCCCTTGTTGCATCTGGCTGCGGCTTTTGTGCCATCCCGATGTGTTGAATAATTCGGTCTTGTGGCTATGTCGCGCACATTCCCCCAACAAAAACATCCCGCCCAAGTCTCCAAAACAAGGGTCCAAGTAAACAATCAAGAAAAGCAATCCACAGAGCCACATGATGTGTAACAGAACATGGTTTCAACAAAAATAGACAAGCATCGCTTTGGGGCCGTTCAAACACCTCGCAGGCCCCCTTTGGGTCGCCCCAAGAAAACCTCTGTTGGGAGGTTTGTGGGAGCCTCGTGTTATATCAACCCCAGCTTACGTAATAGGGGGTTCCCCACCAAAAGTGAAACGCAAGGACACCTCCTGGGGCAACGTTGTTGCTTTGGGGGAGGATTAAACCATCACCTCAATTAATTGAAAATGACTTCATGGATATGAGTTCCTTGGGAAGCCTTAGTGGTGGAAGTCAATGGCACAAGTGCCCAGGGGCTTTGCTGTTTAAAGTTTTAGTTATAAGTAGACTGAGTATGAAACAGAATCCGAAAATATGTTTTTGGCGAACCTGAGATGTGGGCCAAGCCATGTTCAAAACCGGGATGCCTTTGCACCATAGCCCCTAATTTGCGACCCAGGTGCCCAATCGGGACATGAAACCCTGAAAGAAGTTTGACGAAACGCGCAGAGCTGCGTGGCACGTGGTGTGGTCCGGTGTTCGGGCAGCTTGTTCAATCGGAGCGTTGTGTTCGGCACTTTGATTTGTTTGTATATTCATATGTTTGCACATATATATATATACATGTATATATATATATATGTATATATGTATATGTATATGTCATATACAAAAATGTATGTAGGCCTGCTGGATCTCTCAGACTCTGTTTACCACCACGTTTATGGCCCCTCCACAACCGGTGTACCTTCCGTGCCCGATCTTTTCAGCCGTTGAAGTCGTTGGCAAGTCCCTGCACCGAAAGCCCAAGGGGGAAGTTGGGTGAGAGCTCACGAACCTCACTTTAGAGGTTTCCTTCATGTGGGTATGGGTCAAAATTACACCACCAGACCCCAGGCTTTTTTTTCGTCCTTGGCAACCCATTTACCAGCCCATTTTGGGGTTACCCGACCCACATGTGGAGCCTAGTCGGAGGGCATTCGTTCCGACCGGAGGGCATCCTGTGGCTGCTTGCCCGGATCTCCTTCCATCCCATGTACCCCATGGAGCAGAAAGCGAACGGGACAGCACTATCGCGCTACGCGCCTTTGTGGCTGAAGGCAGATGGCAACGGCATTACCGAGGACGGGGTCACTGCAATTCGAGACTTCACACATCGGCAACAGATTCTTCAACAGAAAGGGAGTTAGAGAGTTGCCCGAAACCAAACCCTAAACCCTTACCCCCTAAACCCCAAATCCCCTAAACCCCCAAACCCTAAACCCTAAACCTCCATATCTGGGGAAGCCCAGCCCAGGAGGAATTGTGTTTTTGTTGCGAGTGGTTTCGAGAGCAGCTTGCATCTGGCCCGCCGGAGGTTTGTGTGGAACCTGCAACCAACAACAAACAACACTATTTCTAGCAGCGCATCTTTTTCGGATGCAGGCGAATGTGCCGGGGGGGATGGTTGCAGGAAGAATCGGTTTAGCAGCGCTTGGCTCATAGAATCAGCAGCCCATTCATTCGCGCAAATTCAGTGCATCTGGTTTCGCCTGTGGCTGGTCTAGAATTGAACCTGCAAAATCTTCGATTTCTTGCTTGGGGAAGACACATTCATTCATGAAAGTCATTAAGACATGTTGCGCCCTTTGAAGGTTGCGCCTTTTGCCCATCTTTGGTTGGTGTTGAGTTGCCTGCGCGCGCTTGGACCCCCAAGTCCTTTGCCCGTAACAAATGTGTTTGTTTGGGAGTCACCCCCAAGAGGAATAGGGGCTCACTCCAAATGGAGCCCCTGTAAAAACCTGGCCCCCACCTCCCCCCCCACGGGTTCGCATTCCTTGTTTGCTTTGGAACTCCAATCAAAAAGAAATGGTTCCTAACTGGAACTCTAAAAAACAGAGGAAAACGGTTCCTTTTTGGGGCTGGGACCCCCTCGCCGTGTTTCGTTTCTTTGTTGTTTGACAGGAAGACCTGCAAGAGCTCTTCTCCTCCAGCAACTTCCGGCACCTGGGGTGCAGCGTCTGCCTCGCGGGGAGCTGCTCTCCCGGAAACTGCCGCCAAGCGAAGATGACGAAGAAACACAACCTGGTGCTGCACCTCCACTTCCGAGGCATGGAGTGAGACATGCATCCGCATGCGTTGTGCTGCGCGCATGCGCGAGCCGAGATCCCACGAGATCCCATAGGAAACTGAGCTCCCATGAACATGAAGCGGGAAAGCCTGGATGCGTAGGGTGTTGAACAAGCAGCAAGAAAGACTGGAGGTGTGTGTTTTTCGTGCTAAGTTTATATGTTGAAATCCGTTTTTGTTTTCAGCGAGGTGCGAAGCCCATCTAAGGACAACATGCCCCCGGCAGATTGACATGTCACCCCCAGAAAACTTCTCAGAAGAACATGTGCGGAGGCCGAAAAGTAAAATGCGACGTGCTCGAGAGAGCCCATGGAAGCAGAAGCCTCCGAATTTCAGATGAGTTCGCCCGCTGCAGAATAACATGTGACCCAAAACCCACCCCTCTCGTGAACGATCTTTTGGGAAATGGGCCCCCCTTTTGGGTTAGGGAGTCAAGGGTTGACACATGAAAATGTTGGGCAAACATGAAAGCCCCGGCATCAACACCAAAGCCACCCTTCCGAAACCCTGAGCCACAGGACCCCTCCAGAGACCTGGGTTTCCATAGCTTTCACCCAGGAAAACATGGATGAAAGGACTTTGTGCAGTTTTTGCAGCCCCAAATGTTCAGCTTGATTGTTCCAAGGGGCATGCTGCCGACCGGCGTGTGGGCAAGCCTCGGTTTTGGGGGCTAGCACTTTGCTTCACAGCTGATCAGTGGCGATATGCTAGCTACAAGGGACGAAATTGCCAGCAAAGGTTCCAGCCGAGCTTGCTTGTTTTCACATGTAGATATGTATATATATATACATACATTTACATACCACACATATGTCAAGCACATTTTTTTGCAATTCTTGGAGCGCATGGGACTTGGCGATGTGCCGCAAGTTGGTCAGTGAGTGGTCCTCTCCGGAACCGACACGGGTCACGAAGTCGGAATGGCTCCCCTCGAGTCTCTGAAGTTGACCGAAGCCAACTGTCAACGGCCTTGGGGGCATTGCAAATCAACGTTTGGCCAATGGGCAAGCAACTGGACATCTTGGAGACACCCATTTCAGCCATGAAACGTCACCCAAACAGAAACATCACTCCAACCGAAACTCAAGTGAACTTGGTCAAGAAGGTGATATGTGTCAAACCACCATTTCACGAGGAAATAGAATGGACAGTATCGAGGAATCTAGGGAAATGTCGGGAGAAGACCGCTACATAGAATCAACTCTAAGAGTCAAGTCCTGCCAGTTGTCGTTTCCTGGACTGGAGTTTCCTTGGGGTTCTTGGGGTTTCCTGGACTTTTCGGGTTCCTTCGGGTTTCCTTCAGGTTCCTTCCCGCAGAGGGTCCAAATGATCCAAATGCCTTCTAAGGAGGTACTGAACGACCCCTTTTTACCCCCCAAAAGCCATCCTCATGAAATACTTGGACCCTCTGGGTCGGCTTTCCCAGTTGTTGTTTCCTGGAGGTTCCTGTGCTTTTTAGTGGGTTTCCTGGACTTTTTCGGGTTCCTTCGGGACCTCCGTTGCAGGTTCAAAACAAAGTTGGGGTGGGTTGGACTAACCCAATTTGATCTGGTAAAATGGGGGGGATTCAACCTTGTCTGGAACCTCTAACCTTCCCCAGAATGAGAAACCCCTTTTTTATTTTTTGCTTTTTTGGTGGTTTTCTTTGTTTGCCACTAACCAGGCAAAAAAAAATGCTGGGGTCCTAAATCCAGCCAAGCAACGAGGGTCTTCGGGTTTCCCGTGGGTTTCCCCGTGGGTTTGCCCCGATTTCCAGGCGACCGGCAGCCCGCGCTGCGGCCCACGGTGCTGGCGAGCGCCCTGGCGCCGGCGGGGCCCTCTGCGCAGAAGGCGGGGAGTTGAGTCGACGGGCAGAAGGCGAAGGAAAATGGGGTCTGTCCTCTTCTTCCTTTCTTTTTGGTTGCACCGGAATTGTGGTTCTTGTTTTGCTTTTTATTTGGTTAAGAAGTTTCCCCCCTGTTGGTTGTAAAGGGAATCTATCACTACTGGAAATAGTGTTTTTGTTTTTTTTTCTGGGGGACTCAAGCAAATGGAGGGAAGGAAGTTAGAGTCTGTCCTTTTCTTCCTTTTTTTGTTGGTGGCACCCGTATGTTTGGTTGGTTTGTGTTGTGGCACCTGTATTGTGGTTGTTGTTTTTTTGTGGCACCCAGATTTTGCGTGGTTGGTTTTTCGGGAAACCAATAGCATCTCACACTAGCATAGCATGTGGCACCCAGATTTGAAATGGTTTCAAAGGAAAGCCAACTAGGGAATCCACCCAACCACCAGCAAAAACCGCCAGTTTAAAGCAAAACCACCCGGGTTTTTGGTGTTCGATTTTGGGGATTCCACCAGGGCCCAGGGAAATGGTGGCCAGGAAACAATGGGACCAGTGAGGTTCCCTGTTCGCCCCCAAAAAAACCCAATCCATGGATCCACGTCTAGAGGAAGCTCCTTTTTGGGAAATGGACCTCTGGGTGTCCATCCGCATTTGCAGGATAAATTGGTAGTTTTCTTAGTTGGTGCCCTTTTGTTGCTTCTTTTGGTTTATTTTTATACGGGCTTGGAATGCACCAATTGGATTTGAACTGGGACTCAAAGCGGTGGCTGTCCCTTTAGTTTCCCTGCAAACCATCCTCAACAAGCGTAGTGGGTAATATGAAGGTCTCATTAATTTGCATGAATAGTGTGTGTCCTTAGTTAAATATGTTGTTGTCCACCTTGTGACCCTGGTTGTCATTTGACGTATTCGAGTGGCTGAACACCTAAAAGTTTGCTTGCTAATCATGAACCACTTGGCTTCAACTACCATCCCATTCCAACTCTTTAGGGCGCCTTGCCCTGGTGGTTTCAATCATCACCTTCATAAAATGCAAGTTTCCATGTGACGCTCAAGGGGAAAATATAGGGAGCCAAACATTTCTCGGTGCTGAGCCAAATGCCAAATGAGACCAAAGGGTACCCAAGGAAACCAGAGGAAAAGATGCGAGTTTGTTGCTTTGCCCACACGAACCCAGGGAGACTACAAAGAAGTACAGTATGGGCATTTATTGCTTTTTTCAAGGCCTCTACGTTGCACCCAAGCAACCAGGCTTGTCGGTTTTTTGACGAGACATCAAAGGGAGGTTAGCACATGCACATGTGTGGATTTATTTGGGTCAAAGTGACGTTGCAGCAACATTGTACAGTGAACCATGGTAGGCAAGCAAAAAGGGCGTTATTCAAAAACTCGAAGATGCACTGCTAGGGAGCTGTAAGCAGACCACGGAACATCTCAACACGTTTAGAGCCTTCTAAGATGTTTCTCCGGCCAGCAGAGCCCTCAAGAACTTGCTCGAACTCACATCCACAGCTCCTGAACTTGAGTCAGGTTTTAGGTTTGGTCCATTTTGGTGCTTTCCACACAAAGGTGTTGTTATTGTTGTTTGATGGTTCTCAGTATTCAAGCATGCAAAATTGGTTAATCAAACGCATTGAAAACACGATGAGCCAAACCAAGCTGATCATTGTTTTCTATTGTTTAAAATAAGCACTGGTAGATCAAGTACACTTTGAAAAGAACCAAAACCCCAGGTGGGTCAACCCCGCTGGTTCGGAAGGCGTCAAAGCCTCCCCCAAACCATCGACGGCACCGGGGCCCACGGGCCATCGACGAACGGAGGTCTTCGAGATGAACGCGGGGCCCCAGCACTGGCGCCAGCCCTGGCTCGCGCCCTGGCGGCTTTGGACGGCGCGACAAGGAAGGCACCTCTTTTCCGAGTTGTTTTTTTGTTCGTTCTTGCTTCTTCTTTTTGTTGTGTGTGGGTTGTTTGCTTTTGTTCGTCTTTCTTTCTTCTCTTTTTTTTTTTGGGGGGGGGGGCGGGGTGCCGGGGGGCCGAGTGTTGTTGTTGTTCTTGTATTTTGTTTTTTTTTTTCCAGGGGGGGGGCCAGTGGTAGGGAAGCCCAAGGAAGGCCTCACTCGTTTCCTTTTTTTCTTCGCGGGAAGAAGAAAGACGCACGTTTGTTTTTTTTGGTTGGGGGGAGGCACGGTAGACAGCTTAGGCAGCCCTGAATTAGTGGTTTGGATTGGGAACTGGATTTGAAGTCCTGGCTGTAGAGGGTACAATACGGTATTAAGTAGCCTTTGTTTGGTGGTTTTGAAGTGGAACCCAACAGGAGGACCACATCTTTTTGAGAAAATCAAGACACATGCAAGGGCCAGATTGCTTGGCATGGGGGTATGGAGTACTTAAACCCGCATTCAATCATGATCATAAGCGTAAACCATTGGAAAATAATTCTGAACCCTACCCTGGCGTTGTTTGGCTTGGCCTTATTGACCATCTTTTCTCTGGGAAGCACTGGAGGCCCGAAGAGGGAAAAGATGAAAAGAGGATCCTGTGAATTGGTTCGGAAGGTGGACTGCTATGTGTGGATGCACCCCAACCCTAGTGGCCGTGAGGGTTTTCCTGTGGATGGACTGAAGGGAGGGGCAGGTCCCGAGGCCCAATGGCGACAGAACTTCCCAACATGCCCGCCTCGGCTTTCACAAGCGAAAAGGGGGTGCCCTCCAAGAAAGAGACACCCGTGTTGGCTTGTGCTTGTGTTTTTTCCTTTTACCTACCGGCCATAGGAGTGACCCTGAGAATGCTGGAACAGGGCCGGCAGTCCGTGTTCCAGTGCGTTGTGTTCTCTTCTTACGTTTAGTTGGACATGTCAAGGGCTGGTCTTTGATATTATTTTAGCAACCCAATCACACAGACTTAGCATTTGTTGGCCGGGAGCATGGGGGGTGAGATAATGGCTCATGCCACACAGCTCACACTCGCCGTTTGATGTCCGCAAGTTAGTAACGTGTATGTGCGGATCTTGCATTATGCAGGAAGATGGCCACGTGAATTCTTAATTTCAATTGATTAGGGCCAAATTGGACGACCGACATTTTCCGCACGACTCCTATTTGGTTTAACGCTTAACCTTTAACATGGTTGGATGGTGCGTAGAGGAAGCCATGTAGGCTTCAACACATTCGGAAATGAGTAATGGGAACCCCAAATAAGCCCCTGGTTGATTATAGGGGTGTCCCCGTTTCGCGTGGGTTCAGACCACCTGTTGAAGGGAACACCCCCCCCCCCGTATTTATGTGCCGGGTTCTACTTAGATCCGTAGTTAACGTGATCTTCAACCGCAAGGAAACAACCTCAGCTGTTGCTCAATCACGTGAATTCCCATGCTTGCCTTTGCTTGATGTCCACCAAAAGCCGCAAATGGAAATTCAGGCCCATTTGGACATGTTCCCAGACTTCATCTCTATTTGATTGGATATTTGGACTTTGACTTTAATCAGAGAGGTCAGCAGCAAGCCAGCAGCCAATGTAAAGAGCTTGTCCATGGAGTGTTGGGGTCACCTAAGGCATCGGCCGAGGGTAGCATGCGAGCGGAGCCCGCGATCCTCTACGAGGAATTGGGGGGGGGGGGGGGCGGTGCGTTGGTTTGCGGAAGGTTTGTGGAAGGGACGATGCGTTGGGTCATCTCTGAATTAAGGACATTTGGGGCCAGTTAAAGGTTAACTTGTGCCGGTGTTTGAGAAGAATTTGACTCCTTGCACAAGCGTCTGAGAAAGTTCAGGAATCTTGGCTTCCCCTTTAACGATCCAGGGCTTCCCGGCGTTTTTTCCGGGGCCATTCCCTCAGATAGACGACATACTCCCTTCCGTGTCGCCAGACGGGGAGACTCTTCTCGGGGGTGGCCTTTGGCGACGGCGTTTTTCGGCCGGCCGGGTGTTTTTTTAGCTGGATCTCCTTTTGGGGGTTGACCCCATCTAGGTCCGGGCAGCAACTGGTGCCCTTTCTCACCCCCTTTTGTGGGTTGGGAGGGTTCCCCTAGACTACAGCAAAAAAGTGGGTGCCCTTATTCCAACCCCTCTACTGGAGGACCTAGCCATGTCGTGGGATTCCATAACTTGTTGGTGGAAAGTGGCACGGTTCCCGCCTTTTGCCTTGGTCGTACAGAATTGTCCCTTGGCAGCTCTAGTCATGGAGCACCTGGACCCAACGGGCCAAATGAGGGTAGGCAGCCTTTCGAGGCCGGCCGGGAAGTTCCGCCAAAGCGGCCCCAAAAGACTTCCATGGAATCGCCGTCTGGCCGGTCACAAAGCTCAATGGTCGAGTTCGGGAACATGCCTCGAAGCAATCAGGCGGAGGCCCCACCCCAAAGCCCCCTTTTTTCCCTGGCTCCATTCTAACCAAAGTCACGCCCGTTCGGTCAAAGGGACACCACGATTTATCCAGTTTCTGAGTTTCACCCCTAGCAGGACCAACATAAGCCCAGGTTTTTTCAGTGGATCAGGTGGCTGGCATCCTTTTTTCCACTCGAAACCATGCAAAAAAGGGGACCCCTGGCTCGGATATTCGGCCTCTTGCAGGCGGGAGGTCCAGTTTACATAGCCGAGCTTTTCTATGGCAGAGAACTCTCCATGGCAGCCATGGTCACCAGAAAAACCGGGCTCCTAAGCAACCAGAATTGGCAGAGAGCTCTCTATGGCAGAATGGGTCACCCGAAAAAAGATGGCGCCGCACACCAAACATGGTCACCAGGGGCTCCCTCTCGCAACCAGAGAACTTCATAGGACGCGAACTTCATGATCATCTTCAAGCCCGCGAGCTGGCACTGCTGCTCCAAGATGGGGGGCCCTGCGTTGGTGCAGCGCGCCAAAGCCATGAACGGGGAGCAGAGGAGGACATGTGCCAAGCAGCTGCCCCTCGGATCAGTGGGAAGCGGGCTTTTGGGGGGTGGTTCCTTGGGCTGTCAGCATTTCAGTTCTGTTGGGGCTCGAAGTCTGTTTCCTTGTGGGGTCATTTGGTCAAAGTCAGCTGGTTGGTTTCCGCTCCTTCCGCGCCAGCGTTGGGTGGGGGCCCTTGGCTCTCGCAACGCGTTTCGCCGGTTTGTGTGGACCATGAGCATGATTTCGCTCGAGGCTTTTTTCGGGCAAATAGCCTTTTGTATGGAAAGATGTGTTCTTATGATGGCCTCCCCCTTCCCCCCCCCCAAAAAAAAAAGCAGGGACAACCCTGCACCTCACGCAAAAAACCAGCAACAGCGACTGAAAAAAACAAGCAACTTGGCTATCTAGGACAGAAGAGGTGTCAAGTGCTGGTGATCTTCCTTTAGGTGCTGAAAGCCCCGAGAAAAACAAAACAAAACGGAGGCTGGCGCAGCAGCAAGCTCCGCCGCTGCACGACTACATCATCCTCCGCTTCGGGGCGGACCCCACTTTCAAGGAGGCACCTGGGCGGCGAGTGGGCGGCGTGAGTTGCCCGGCGTGTCTGGGGAGAGTTGCCCAAAAAGGCCGAAGGGGTCAAGGGGTCGAGATTACATAGGGGTCAAGGGGTCAAGGTGTTTGCCTTCACTTCCATTTGCTGAACATGTTTTGTTTTCCCCCCTGTTGGTTTTTGAAGGGAATCGATCTCACTAGTGGAAACATGGTCATTTTTTCCAGGGGACTTCAGCGAATGGAGGGGGCAAGGGGCAAAATTGCACATTTTTATGCTGCTTGCTGGTGCTCAGGGAATGCCCAGGGTTTTGGGAACAAACCTGGGGATTCCGTCCAGAGGAAGCCAGATCGGGGATGGTCTTTTTCGGGGTCATTCCAAAACTGGTTCAGGCATCGCAGGTGGCAACCATTGAAGCTGGGTGTCATTTGCAACGCAAGGTGAATGACTTGCAGACACCCCGCGTATCACACGTTTCTCACCCGCAGTTTCTTCCTGATTCCTCAAGGCAAAAAACGTGAAGACGGGGCCAAAATGTCAGGCCTTAGCTTTCGGATTTGGGGGGAACCCTGGTTGTTCAGCCAGTGAATGACTGGGTGCTCAGCCCATCTTTGCCACTTTGCCCAGGAGGAAGCCAACGTTCAAAAGGCATGAATCCTCCTATTTTTCGCACACCCCGGTATTTAGCACAAAAAGCGCCTGGCGGGGGCTCGTGAATCCATGAATCGGGACTTGGCCCGATACATCAAGCCGGCTCACTGTCAGTTTCTTAGGCGCGAACTGGAATCAGATCTCCTGGAACTGGATGCTTTTGTTTCATTCGGTCATCTAATCCGTTCCCCCTAATGCTGTTCTACAAGTAGTATTCCCGGATTTGGGATTTTCAAAAGTCGGTTGCAGTATCAGGGGTACGTTTAGCATTCGGGGGAGGGGATTGCAGTCTATTTGCAAGCAACACGGCCGTGACACACACACACACACCACACACACACACACACACACACGCGCGCGCGCGCATTCACACACACACACAACTGAAAGGTATTTTTGCAATGAAGGAATAGTTAATGGCATTTTTCCCTCAGGTCCACGCTCGCCGAGCCCGACGTGTCTTTTGTGAAGCAAAAGGAACCCGGTTCAACAGGTTTGGGGTCTCCTCCAAACCGATTTGCAAATTTTGAACGGAGGCGCGCGAAGCCACAGCAGAACATATCGGGTTTTCAACGTGGTACCCCCCGCCCCTCCCTTTTTTGGTGGTGGTTGGACTGCACCTATATTCTGTGGTAGCCAAGCTTTTTGGTGTCCAAGCCTCTGGTTTTCCACGTCCTCCGACTCCTTTTTCGCCGGAGGTGTTGAATGAGCGGATGCTCTACGGCCTAGTGCACCGCTTGGACGTGGGCACCAGTGGGCCTTTGCTCATGGCCAAGAACTGGGAGACGCTCGGTGGGCCGATTCGATTCGTGTTTTCCCCGTTGGCCTGTCCGGCTGTTTGGAGAGCCCATACCGTTTGGATTTAGGGGTTGGGCCAGGGAGTCCTTGGAGAACACGTTTCTCTGCTTTTGATTTTGTTGGCATTTGAGTTGTTGAAACCAGATCCTTGAAACAAGTTGTTCTTTGGTTCTTGCTAGTCCCCTAGTGCTTCAACCTTGTTGCCCCCCACCCCCTGGTGGGGGGAGTTGCCTTATGATCCGCAGTGTTGTATTTATTCTTTGTTGATTGCCGTGTCGTTTGCTTTAGCGACACGCCTTTTTGCTTTTTTGCAGGGCGGTTTAAATAACACAGGTCCACCTGGTTGTTGGGAAAGAGTTTACATTTTGCTTGTTGTGGTTTAGTGGTTGAAATCCCAATCCACTTCCCTGCTAAAATTTGATGTGTTGCTCCCCTTACGTCAACCAAGCTCAGAACTACACGTTCGAAGCAGAGGAATACGAGGCGCTCTTTCCCAGCCTGCGGATTCCTGAAGCGGCGCTTGGATCCGATCTAAGGAGCTTCGACGCGGCCAAGCGGATGATCGCCCTGCAGCTCACCGTGCGGGACTACATTGCGCCGCCTTGATGGAGATTTGGCGCTCCCAAATTTTTTCGGGCTTTTGCCTCCGAATTCTCCAACCCCCCCCCTCAAAAAAATGAACATAGGAAAGGAAACAGAAACTGAAAGAAGAGGAGATGCCCCCTCCCCCCCAACCAAACAAAAAGAAGATGGAAGAAGAGGACATGTTTGATTTCCGACCCAGCCAAAGGCCTCGCAAGCTTGCGATGTCCCTTTCACGGGTGCAACTCCAAGGCTTGAAGCTTGTCTCGAAAGGGAAAGTCATCGATTCGCAGGCAGAGGCATAGGTGTCCTTGTTGGTGGTTTTGCTCGAAAAATAGATGGCGCTTCCTGGTTTACCCGGTGGTTGAATCATCTACCAGGGCCATCTATTTCCCCTAAAATGGACACCTATGAGCAGAGGTTGCTCGGTTCACTGAACGTACCGTCCTTTCAAAATGAGCCAACCGGTGTCAGCATTTGACTCACATGAGGATGGGCTCCCGATCACCCGCACTCTTTAGCCAACTTGCTGTGATTTCTTTGATGTTTATAGGGAACCACGGGTTGATGTTTCTTCGACGGAAAAAGGGGTGCGACATTTAAAGGTATTATGGGCCATGGCAACATCCCTTTGGAGGCATCCAAGAAGATGCCAAGGACGTTCTGTTTGGTTGGCTTCATGTGGCGTATGTCGCGTGGATGTGAAACAGATGAAGGGGGAATAGAGAAAAGGCGCCTGTCTAAACCGAAAGGAAACCAGGCAGTTGTTACAGATGGATGAAAGAGAATGAATGGGAAGGTCAGGGCATTGGACCCTTTTCTGCCTCTCTTCGTCCCATTTCCATCTCCACTGATTGCGATGGAACGAAGATGCTTAAGACATGAAATTCATGGGGGTCCGTCACCCATTCGTATGTTTGCAGGGGAATTGTTGACTGTGGGCTAGCCGGCTGCGTCCACCAAACATCAATACAGCTGTGGGGCCCCCAAAACGGGGCGTTGACGCCTATGAGCCCCACCTCCGTTCTACCCTGAGATCCCTAGACAAAATCAGAACCTTCCTCGGACCCATTTGCCAATGGACCCATTTGCCCATGACAATAGAGGCGCCTCCCCCCGGAAAAAAAAAATAGTTTGTAGTGCTGGGGGCCTGTGGCGCAATGGCAGCGTGGCCCGTGCTATGCGCGGGAAGGTTGTGGGCTCAAATCCCACCAGTGTCCCCTTCAACAGCTTTGACCCTCACATGTAATTGGTGGGCCGAACGCCAAAACTGAAGTACACTGCCTGCACGCTTCAAGTGCAGCGTTGAGGTGTTGGTTTTAACGCTCTTTCAGCTTGCTTGGTTTTTTGGGGGAGTGGCTTCAGCAGAGGGCCCTTCCCCTATTTTTAGAAGGGTTCCGAGAATTGTCCAAAAATAATGCACGGCTTTATTCCCAAGCTCTGGAATTCCAGAGGTAAAACTGCGCGCTGAAGAGCTGTGTGTTCTACTTTTCTTCTTTTTTTCCGGGATGGGTAAGTTCAAGATTTGTTTCAGCTTGGATCTTCATTTTCTGAAGGTTACCGAGCCTCACTCCCTGAGTTCCGTGCCTCGAACTTCAGTCACTTTTTGGGTTGGGACCATTTTAGTGGCAAAACAAATCGAGAGTTCGGACTTTTGTTGGGCCAATCCTTTTAGGAAGCGAGTAGAACCTGCACATAGGTTCCTGGAAGACCATTTCCCTTAGACCATCTTGTGCAGGCTCCATGTTTGCTGGGAGGGAACCTGAAAACCCACCTCAGTCCATTTGGGTGTGCAACCCTCAGTGGGGAAACCCTCAAAATGGATGAGTTACCCGAAGCCACCAGATTTTTCGAGTGAAGCCAAATCAGGCTACGCCTTCAATCAGATGCCAAATGCGAACCAAGGGTTCCTCTGTTTCTGTGCATGCTCAAAGTCAGAAACTGGAAATTGTGGTTTCCCTTTTTTAACCTACTACTGAGCGGGTGGATTTCAACAGTAAGACAACAAACCAGGAAACCCATCCTTTTTGCCAGTCTGGGGTGGTGCCCCTTTCACCTGCCGCTTAAAATTGGGTAAACTCATGGGGCCAGCCCCGAGTGAAACCCTCGGGAAGCCGGGAAGTTTGAACTGGAATGAAGCCAGTTGCTTTGTCCCCCTTTTAAAGGGAACCACTTGGAGGGTTTTCCTTGGGGTCATTCCAATTCTCATTCCCCTCTCTCGCCCCAAGTAAAATTAACTCCCCCTCCTTTTCTCATTCCCTGCATCTCCCGGTTTAAGCAAAAAACGTCTCCAATCGGGACGCTTCAGCCCTCGTGAGGTTGGTCTTCTCATTCCCTGCATCTCTCGGCTGCACAAATATCCGGAAAAAGCTTCGCATCCCTCGCCCGTGAAACAATCTCCAATCGGGCAGCTTCCCTCGTGAGGTTGGTCCACGGCAGCTTCGGCCAGCACCAGATCAAGAGCCGCGGCCTCATCCGCGCACCCATCGACGCCACGACCTGGGACGCCCAGGGCCGAGTGGTGGTCCACGAGCGCGGCCAGGACTCGCGCGCATGCATGCGACCGAAGTCGGGCGCAGTCAACCCGTACCGGAAGGCAACCGCCTTTTTCACGTGGAACCTGATTTTTAGGGGGGAACCACCTTTTTCACATGGAACCTGATTTTTTTAGGGGGGGTGCTGGACAGTTGTCCTTTTTGTTGGACGTGTCCTTTTCAAGGGACCCCCAAAAATCAGGTTCCATGTTAGTTAGTTGGGAGGGTAAGCTACTGATGGACGAAAACACTATTCTGCACGAAATGAAACTTTGGGATGATTCGAGTCCCCTGTAAATAGTATTTTCCATGTGAAACAATGCAGCGGGAAAACAGTGGATGGACGAAGATTGTTCGCACCTAAGAAACCAAACGGCAAGCTGCTGGTGGGAAAGTGTGTTTTGAAGCTGGGGACAAACCCACATACTGTGGATGGGCGAAATCCATTCGCACCACGAAATGAAACCAAGGTTGAAACCATAACGTTTGTTGGTATGTACGTTGGGGGATCGAATCATTCCAGGGTTGCTTTGGTGGTGTGAACTGGATTCTGTCCATCCACCGTATGTCAGGTTAGCCTTTGGTTGTTGGGAAGGATAAGTAAATGGGCCCACACCAGGCTCGAAACCGCTGACTGTGGGGCTACTGTGCATAGACGAAAACTCTTTGGCACCATTTAATAGGTGGTTTGTCCCAATAAATAATAGGGTTTCATCTTTTCAACTGGAGTAAAATGGATTTCGTCCACACACAGAAGGGGTACCAAGAAGGCCATAGCTTGTTTAGCAAACCCCACAGGGAAGCCAACAGGGGTGAGTATGTTTTTTAAAGCACCCCCAATGAGTTTCGATTTGTCTGAAGAGAAGGATGTGGTTTTTGTTAATGCTCGGTATCAGTGTCGAATTGGTTTTCAAGGGAACCGAAAGTTGGGGGATAGGCTGAACCCCCCCCGTAAAGAACTGGTTCCAGAGTTCACTGCGGCACCCTCTTTGGGTGGTGATTTCCTGTTGATTTGCCTGTCAAATGGCGGAGGGAAAGTGGCGTACCTGGTTTGACATCAGTTGACAACATGGTAGGTTACAGGGATCCTAGCCATTTCCCCGTTTGGAACCTCCAAATGGAAGCCACCGGTTGCAACGCGGGAAAATCCAGTGATCCCCTTGGTGTGTCAAGGGGTTTGACTTTATGCAGTTTTTGACCAAAGTGGGCACACTGAGGTGCGAGCGGGAAATCTCTCTACTCGTGCGCCCCGCCGACAAGAAATGGAGTGTCGGAGACTTCTTGACACACCCTGGACAGGAAACCTAAAGATGGGATGCTGCCCCACAAAAAGGAAACATGTGGTTGTCCTTTTAGATTAAGCCATGTATACCCTCAAAACCAGACACGCCCGCGTAGATCTATACCATGATGGGGCCTGCGATTGGAGGCAGACTTTCGGAAAGGTGCGCCGCGTTGCCTTCGATTTGTTGCACGGATGCGCGAAAGCCCAGTGAGCGAAAAGCCTTAGCTTGTGCCAAGCCGGGAAGCAGACGGGTATGCGTGAGGAAGGTTCAGTCTTGCAGCCAGGAATTTCAATAATTTTTGCAAAAAGGAAACCAAAAGGGATGGGTAAGTTTCGGAACATCGGAGAGGAGGCATCGACATTCTACGAGTGCCTCGCAGAGTACCAGACACTTGGATAGACTATGCCTTGGTTCGGAGATCCGTCCCGGATCTTGTGACGGCTGGGCATGATGCAAGTTACTTGAGTGGGCGAAATTCGAGCTGTAATGTGGCGGTGTCTTTTTTGAGGGTAAGGGAAACCAAAGGGGAAACACCACCGGTTTGGGGGTCCCCAAAAGAAGACGAGCCACCTCGGTGGGTGAAAGTGGACCCAGCAGCGGCGCGCAAAGTTGCCATCGGCTGAGCCTGGCCTTATGCCATTCGAACAGAGTCTCACTTGCCCAAAGCGAATCGACCTTTTAACCGTTTGTGTTTCATGGTCCATGTTTAGTGACCCCAAAAATTGCAAAAAAATGCAAACATTGTCCGAAACCTGTTATTTCTTTGGGTTGCTGGGTGGTGAACAGGGGTGGAAACACTTAAGGGCGCCGCATGAGCGATGTTCGCAGGGACTACAAGAAACGGCATTCGGATTGCCATGAAGCTGTTGGGTTGAGGACATGGACATCCATTTATCTCTGGTGGTTACCTCAGCGTCTGAGGGCGAGCTTTGTCGGTGTCCCCTTCAAAGATGGTTGAGCTCTGGGGCCAAGTGACTCATTGCCCGGAAAGCGATTTCGGAAGTGATACCACTCAGGGTGTCAGTGCTTTTACCGAATCTTGGATCTGTGCCTTCCACTAGAATTATGCAGGATGAAGGGCAAAAGATAATTCTTCCCTTTTCCCCCTGCAGTGTTTCACATGAAACCCAAGGAAGGTCCTTTTTGAGAACCCCGGATCTAGGGTTCCATTGTTGCGCCTGTTTTATTTCGCGAGCTCACAGGGGGTACAACGAGCTCACCACGATAAAGGTCGGATCCCTTAATTCAGCTTTCGGAATTATGGTAAGAATTGCAGATTGTTTGACTAGGTAGACTTAAGCCATCTTAAACCCATGGCACCCATGGTTCAAGAATTTCCAAACAAGCCTTTGGGTCCAAGTCTGCGTCAAACAATGGGACTTTCGGGCATCTCGGGTGGAAGAATCCCATGGCGACCTGCGGGGGTTTTCGGCCGGAGCTGAGGAGCACGGCTGGGTCTCGCTACAGCCTGGTGCACTTCCGATTGCTCACGGGGCGCACGCATCAGATCAGGGCGGGATCCTAAGAGCCGATTTTTTGGCCGAAAGACGAATCCAGCTGTGGGTTTTGCAGGGTTTCCTGGTTGGTGGTTTTATTCTTTTGGGAACTCCTCCATTTGCCCGCTTTTCGGAACCTCCAAACATGGCGGTTTTTGGAAAGGACACCAGAGAGTTGATCAGGTTGAAGAGAATCCAGTAACCCCTGTTGTGGTTTTCTCGTTTTTAGGGGTTCCCGCCCCATTCTTTCCAGGATTCCTATCATGAATGGTTTTTGAAAAGAACGATGGTTGAAAAGAATGGGAATCAACCCCTAGATTTTTGGGTTGTCACTTTTAGTACAGGTCACCGTTTGTTTCTTTTTTTGTTCAAATGGAAGCCCGGTGAGGTGCACATGGAGTACCTGGGCTTCCCTCTGGTGGGCGACCGCCAGTACCAGGCGCGAACACGTCCGAACGTACGAGGTCCGTGGCGCGTATGTTGGTCCCGTTTTGGGTTCCCAGATGCTCCTGGCTTCGGCTTCCGATGGAAGACCCAGACCAAGCCTGGCCAATTGAAGGCCCAAAATCAATCGGCAGCGTCTGGGTTTGGATGATTCGGCCGGTCGAAACCAATCAGATCCCATTTTGGGGTAGGTGCACCACCATTTTGGTAGATTTTGGTGGTTGGATTAACCACGCATTCGGAAGTGAGTTTGGAGGTTAGGCCTGGGGTGATTAGCCGTGAGCCCCCTCCCATTGTCCGCCGGTGTTGCGGGTTCTCCCTTTTGGTAGAAGGGGGCATATCAACCCTCAGCCCCTAATTTTGTTGGTGGACGAAGGAGTCCAACCACCACAAAGGGACCCTCCAATCATGAGTCGCTTTCTAAGCAGGGATCAACTGAAGATGTGCTGGAGGTGCTGCCCTGCTTCGCAACAACTTTGCAATGCCTAAACCCCGCATCGCACATTTAGTAGCTGGTTCCACCTGATCTGTTTGGGTGGTAGTAAGGCCTAGTTCGGCCTCATTAGATTTATATATACATTGTGATTAGTGCAATCACAAGCCCAAAATGAGATTGGTTTCCTTTGGGCTTCCTTCAGCCCAAGACCTGGTAGCATTTGAACACCCATCTCTCCATATCCGCTCCGCCAGGGTCCGGCCCAGCGCCGGAAGGGGGACTTGGCAGACAGACCGCTGCTGCATAAGGTCCGATTCACTGCACCTCGCAGCAGAGTCGTGGAGTCGTTGCCCTTTTGACGTGCGATCGGTGCAAGAAGCAGGGAATGAGTAATGGTGTCAACTGTTTTGTCCCCTTCCCTAAGGCTGATGACCCCTCCAATGCAGGCCCCCGGGCCCTCCAATGAAAAAGGAAACCACCAGTTGGATGCTTTTTTGTTCTTCTTTTTTCGTGAGGACATTCCATTTCTCATTCCCTGCCTCTCGCACCAGCAAGTTTTGATCAGTCAGGTTGGTTGAAATTTGATGGTGCTGGTTGCAGGTGGCTTCTAATCTTACAGTGCCATCTATCTTGCCCAAACGGACACCTCGAATCCGATCCAGGATCTAAGCAGAATCCATCCCAGGCGGCGTGTAACCCCGCCATAAGTGGACAAGCTCACTAAAATGGGACACTCCCCAATAACCCAGGAGTTGGTTAATCCGGGGTTAACCGCCTTCCACGTTGATTCTCGTTAGGTGGACGGTTCTGTATGTGTTTGTCTGTGGCAGACGGACCTTTGTTTAAACTTTGTGACTCCTTGTTTCTCGTGCCCCTTGTTTTGGGCGTGTTGATTGTGTTTTGTTGGTCAGCTGCGTGTTTTTGGTTCTTGGGCGTGCTTTGCGTGGGTTTGTTGTGTTGCGGGTGTTCTTGGTCAGTGGCGGGTTTTTTTTGCTTCTCCGGTTCTTGGGCGCGTTTTGCGTGGGTTTGTTGGTCCATGGTCACTTTTTTGGTTGCCCGTTTTTTTTGTCGCTTCTTCGTCGCTTTTTCTCCTCGCAGATGCGTCTCCGTCTGCCGATCCCTTCGGTCGTTTGAGGTGCCCACCTACCCGGAGGGCGACCCCGTGGTGCTGTGGACGCCCCTCACCTCCGCGCAGGAAATGCGCCCACGGCTTGTTTTTTTGTTGAGGCCATGGGACTTTTTGGTGGGGCTTGGTGGTGTAGAGGACATGGGTTTGGTGGTGAGCCATCCGGTTCCGCTTGGTGGTTTAGAGGTGTTTGCTTGGTTTGGTGGGGTTCACTCCCGCAGTGCTTGGAGTTTGGACCCGCTTTTGTGGTAAATAGACAGTTGGAGCTCTTTTTCTCGCCAATCCACTCGTTCGGAAGTGAGGGACACTGTTGGGTGATGAGCTATGTCTAGTCCATGGAAAGAGTTGTGGATGTTGCTCACATTGCTTTATTGTATGGTTGCAAACTCTTTTCTGTGGAGTTTGCGGTTGCTTATGTTGGTGAACGCACTAAGGTCTTTGCGGAAATCCGCAGTCAGTACCACCTCCTTTCCAGAAACATTCTGAGGGTTCGTTTGAAGTGAACGAAGACAGACCTGTGTTCTGATTATCTCAGAGAGTACCGGCATAACACTCAAACTTTGACGTGTGATCGACATATGTTATTTTTCCTCAACGTGAACTCTTTTTGCTTGTGGTTCAGAGCAAAGGCCTGTTTGGGCGCTTGCAGGACGGGATATTGAACCGATTTTGTGTTTTGCAGGGGCAAAGACTAAGGCTCGTTTGGATCATGGTATATTTGAGGACTTGTTCGAAGCCAAACAGAAGCAGACAATTGGTTTGACCTTGAAAAACAAAGAAACAGATAAATACACCCACTTTAGACCAAACTGTGGCCTCTTTATTTGGCCATGTGTGTTCTGCCTGGACGTAAAGGGACATGCGCACGCAACAGGCTACGTAATAAGTCATGTAAATGGTGTTGTTTGTATGTGTGAGCACCTTGCCTGCCTTTCTGCTATGGCTTGTGACCCTCCCGACTTGGAACATCAAAGTATTTTGGCAGGTTACTGCTGCGCGTTGTGAGACAACAGCATATGGTCTGAGGCCAGTCATGGTCGGGTGTCATTTTGCAAAACGTCATGTCCCACTTTTTGCAGGCAGTGCAACAGGCAGTTCGGATTCGCGTATCTATCACCATGTGCGCCCATGACTTTCACCCAGCTGGTGTGCACTCACCCTTCCTTGTTTGCTTGCAGCCAAGTTTGCCAAACAGTGCGCCGGCCCGGCATAGGCCCATGTTAAACGACATACAGCTTCGCCTTTTTGTAGCCAGGTTGCCTGTGGATCACAGCTCTTGCCTAATTGACTCCACACATGTATTAGATATGCGCCGGGCCGGCGCAAAAGCGCCACGCCTTCAATCATGCCTTAGATTTGTGCCGTGCCGGCGCAAATGCGCCACTTGTTCTTGCCAAATTGCTCCAAGCATGCCTTATATTTATACTGCGCCGGCGCAAATGCGCCACGTGTTCGAAGATATGCGCCGGATCGGCGCAACGCACCCCGTTTCTATTCATGGCCTAGTTTTCATAGATTTGTGCCAGGCCAGTGTGAGTTCGACCCTATCTCGCTTGCGTGTCAGTTTTGCGCGGAGGCTTTCTTTTGCTTGGCCAGCGCAGATGCCCGCCCCGTGAACCCCTAACAACCTTGAACTTGCTGTCAGATTTGTATTGCCTTTCAACCTGAATGACAGGTGCCCCATCCTAACAAATCTGTCCAATTGTTGGTGTGTGTTTCGCTTTTCTCGCGCGTTCCTGTTTGACGCACCCATGCTCCATCCATGTCCCTTGCGACCTTTCCACACGCAGTCTCGTTTTCGTGCTACAAGTTGCTGTTGCTCGTGCTCAGGCCGCACACGTGTAATAGTCGCGGGTTCCGCCTGCGTTCTCGAGCAGCAGCTTTGCCTCGCCTGAACGGTTCAGAACGGTTCCGAACGGTTCCTGGGTGGTCAGCGGGCAAGGCGCGCAAGTGATAAAGTTTAGTTGCTAGCAGTTGGCGGTCCTCGCGTGAGCAGTATGCAAACTCGTCAGGCGCCAGGCGGCTCGTCCAATAGGCCGCGCACTTCTCCAATCCTGAAGAAAGGGGCTGTGCACTTTTGCACCCACAGGCTGTCCTGAAAAGATGCCTTGTTTTTGGTTTTGCGCCGCTCAGTTCGCAACATTTCCGCGAAAGTACAACATACCCGAAAGTTTGCTCTGTTTTTCTCATGGGCTATCTTAGGTCCAGGTCAATCTGATTTCCCTGGGTTCGGAGGGAAACTAAGCGTCCGTTGCCAAGCGCTAATAGCTTTGTTTTCTAAACACGCAAGCTTTTTGCGCCAATGAAGTTGCTGAAATGACTTCATTGGCAACTCAACTCAGGCAGGAGTGTGCCCAAACACTTAATCAGCAGAACCGTTCTGAACTGTTCCTGAAAAGTATGCAGGCTGAAGCCTGAGCCGTTCTGAACCGTTCAAGCTGCGAGCGTGTGCTAGCCCATCTTGGTTCAGAACCGTTCTGAACCGTTCTGAACCGTTCCGATCCCATCTGTGCCACGGAACCGTTCTGAACCGTTCTCAGGCATGATGCCCGGAAACGCAGGAACCGTTCTGAACCGTTCCGAAGCTGTCGATGGCATTCAAGTTGTGAACCATATGTACTAGCATGTAGTTACGATTGCTGCTTCTAATGTTTGATCCGCTTATTATGTGTTGGCAAAGGCCTCTAGCAAGATGACAGCAAGGCACGAGCGCAATACCGTGCCAGGAAAGGTCATGTTCCCACTGTCGCACCCTAGGCTCTAATAACACATCAACTGTTTTGCCTTGTGCAAATCCCAACTCAGACGCCTAGAAACCCTTTTAGCAAGTAGTTGGCTGCATTTTTGCTTAGCTTGCAGCATCGCCCGTGACGTGTGTTCAGACGTTGGTTTTTACATGGCTTTCTGGGTTAAGGACAGGCTAACACATAAAGAGGCCACAGTTTGGTCTAACACCCACTCCATTATTGAATGCCCAGCCTTGAACCCCAAACAACCCCCGATCCAGACCTGCAGCCTGAACAAACCCACAGCAGACCAACCTGAAAACCAAACCTTCATAACCCTAAACCCACCTGCAATCAAACCTTCACCAACTAAATCCTAAACCAACCCACCAACCTTGGGCTCGAAACAGCCCGGAACCAACCTTACAACCCTAAACCAACCTGAGGTCTCACCAACGTTTAAACGCCAGAAGATGTCCAAGAAAAGGCTGAACCACATACTGACAGCGCATGTAACAATGGTTTGATTTGAATCATCCTGGCAATCGTCAGGCGCGCCAACACACTGCGCGGCTAAAGAATCTTTGTTACTTTCCTTTGTTGATTTTAAAGTGAACCTGTCACTGCTGGACATACCCTCCCACCGACTATCATGGAATCGCACAGAATTCCGTGGAAAGACTGCTTTCCTCTTGGAAAGGGGCTTTGTGTACTATATATATATATATCTATAATATCAAATAATCTAGAGAGAGAGAGTATCAAATATAATATATGCATATATATATATACACTTTCCAGGGCCCCTCCATGAAGCAAATTTCTGTGGCGATTTTTTTGTCACCAGCGCATTTCTGAGGTGCGAGGTGCTGGGCCGATTGCAGCTGGTGCACGACCCGGAGGGCTGCGGGCTGCATGAGCTGCAGCTCAACCTATGAGCAGTCGGGATCGAGTCTCAAACGTCGCAACGGGCCGGGGCTTGGGGAAACGAATATGGCTCTACTGGGCTTTCCAGCTAGGTGCCAACTTTTACCGTTTCTTTTTTGGTTGGGAGGGTTCCCCTACTAAAAAGGAGAATCGGGTACCCTTATTCTAACCTCTCTATAGGACCTAGGCTGAAGCCGGCTTCCGACCAGGAACCAGGTGGTCTGGTCAGAAATACGTGTGACAGTGTGGGCCTCTTTTGGGCCAGCGCACGGAAGTGAGTCTAAATTCGCGAAGAGCGAGAAGAGGACGGAATTGCACGCTGGGCTGCGCCGACAATATGACAATATGCCATGCAAGAGGAAATACGCCCGTCCGGGTTTGAACTGGCCCGCCTGTAGCTCTTTGTTTATGTGGCTAATCTACCCAGGGGCAAGGCCTGGCCGGTTGGAATGACCCTGATTTCAGCATGCATGGTTGAAAGCCCACCAGAGCACTGGCACTTGCCATGTGAGCTGGCAACTAATTTTGGGACACCCAAACAAAGGCGAAGACAAAAGTTGAGTCTTCCCTTTGGGTTGAACCCGCCGATGCGCTTAGCTGGTCTTTTCAGTTTCTCATGCAGGCTTGTGGAGCCTGCTCCGTTAAATCAGGCTTAGAGTCTCCTACACCCTGTTAGAATCGATTTCGATTTGATACTATATAGAATTTGATTTGGTACAAGTGTCTTTTGAAAAAAGAAACGAAATTATTCGGGAGTAATAAAAGATATCCTGGAATATAACACCCAGATTGAAATGCTCATCATCTGAAATCGTATCTTAAAATCGGTCCGAATTAACTAGCTCGAAATGTATTTAAAGCTTTTAGCTATGATAGAATTATATTAAATCAAATAACCAAATTCAATTATAATAATGAATATTAAATATATATATATAGATTTATTCATTTAATAATGAATTATAATATTTTAAATTTTAAAATCATTAACATATTTATAAATGCTAAAACAAATATAGGTTTGATTAGGATATTTTATTAAAAATTGTTATTTTAGGGTTTTATTAAAATTTTATTATTTTGTATGGGTTATGGGAATTTGGTGTTGGGGATATTGTTTTTTAATATTGAAATAGTGTTGTAAATTGGCAAGAATTTGAGGTTGTTTTTATTATGGGAAATTTTGAGGTTAGTAGATAGATTTAGTGGTTTGGTATGGGTTTGAGTTTAGATTTTGTAAGGTTGTTGTTGAGATTTTATAAAGATTATGGGGTGGATTTGAAAGAAAATAACAATGTATTTGATTTGTTCTTAGATGGATTTAAATGATGTTTTGTTTTAGGGTTTTAGTGGTTTTGGTTTTGTTTTGTTTTTTAAAGTTTGTTTTAAGCAAGTTATATATTATTTATATTTATTTTTATTAAGTTAATTTTCAATGAATTAATATTTTATTCCCCACATCTTTGTGCGGGGTTCTTACTTTTATCGCTCCGCGCCCGCCGCCCGCCGTCCGCCGTCCGGCCCCGCCGTCCGCCGCTCGCCCCGCCGCCCCCGCCGCCCACTCACTCACACTCACTGTCTCACACTCACTCACACACACTCACTCACACACACTCACTCACACACACTCACTCACTCACTCACACTCACTCACACTCATTCACACTCACTCACTCACTCACCCGCACAAAGTCACTCACTCACACACACTCACTCACACTCACTCACGCACACTCACTCACTCACTCACAGGGGCAGCATTTGGGAGCTGTTTAAAGGGCTAGGGTGTTGTCGCGCGCGCGGCCCGGGGCTCGCGAAATCGTGGCAGGCGCAACACTTTGGAGATGCCGTTGCCGAAGTCGTGGCAGGCGCAGCATTCTGTGCATCTGAGCGTGTGCTTGCGTGGCAGGGGCAGCATTTGGCAGGTGTCACTCACACACACTCACTCACACACACTCACTCACACACACTCACTCACTCACTCACTCACACTCACTCACACTCACTCACACTCACTCACTCACTCACAGGGGCAGCATTTGGGAGCTGTTTAAAGGGCTGGGGTGTTGTCGCGCGCGCGGCTCGGGGCTCGCGAAATCGTGGCACACTCACTCACACTGACTCACTCACTCACAGGGGCAGCATTTGGGAGCTGTTTAAAGGGCTGGGGTGTTGTCGCGCGCGCGGCTCGGGGCTCGCGAAATCGTGGCAGGCGCAGCACTTTGGAGATGCCGTTGCCGTGTGCATCTGAGCGTGGGTTTGCGTGGCAGGGGCAGCATTTGGCAGGTGTCACTCACACACACTCACTCACACACACTCACTCACACACACTCACTCACTCACACTCACTCACACTCACTCAATTACTCACAGGGGCAGCATTTGGGAGCTGTTTAAAGGGCTGGGGTGTTGTCGCGCGCGCGGCTCGGGGCTCGCGAAATCGTGGCAGGCGCAGCACTTTGGAGATTGCCGTTGCCGAAGTCGTGGCAGGCGCAGCATTCTGTGCATCTGAGCGTGTGTTTGCGTGGCAGGGGCAGCATTTGGCAGCTGTCTAAAGGGATGGGATGTTGTCGCGCGCGCAGCTCGGGGCTCGGCAGGCGCAGCACTTTGGAGATGCCATTGCCGAAGTCGTGGCAGGCGCAGCATTCTGTGCATCTGAGCGTGTGTTTGCGTGGCAGGGGCAGCATTTGGCAGCTGTCTAAAGGGCTTGGGATGTTGTCGCGCGCGCGGCTCGGGCGCATGACTTTGGAGATGCCGTTGCCGAAGTCGTGGCAGGCGCAGCATTCTGTGCATCTGAGCGTGTGTTTGCGTGGCAGGGGCAGCATTTGGCAGCTGTCTAAAGGGATGGGATGTTGTCGCGCGCGCAGCTCGGGGCTGGCAGGCGCAGCACTTTGGAGATGCCATTGCCGAAGTCGTGGCAGGCGCAGCATTCTGTGCATCTGAGTGTGTGTTTGCGTGGCAGGGGCAGCATTTGGCAGCTGTCTAAAGGGTTGGGATGTTGTCGCGCGCGCGGCTCGGGCGCATGACTTTGGAGATGCCGTTGCCGAAGTCGCAGGCGCAGCATTCTGTGCATCTGAGTGTGTGTTTGCGTGGCAGGGGCAGCATTTGGCAGCTGTCTAAAGGGCTGGGATGTTGTCGCGCGCGCGGCTGGGGCGCGCGAAATCGTGGCAGGCGCAGCACTTTGGAGATGCCATTGCTGGTCGTGGCGCGTGCATCCCGTGCATCTGTGTGGTTTATGGCATGTTTGGCGCTGTCTAAAGGGCTGGGATGTTGTCGCGCGCACGGCTCGGGGCGCGCGAAATCGTGGCAGGCGCAGCACTTTGGAGATGCCATTGCCGAAGTCGTGGCAGGCGCAGCAATTTGTGCATCTGAGCGTGTGTTTGCTTGGCAGGGGCAGCATTTGGCAGCTGTCTAAAGGGATGGGATGTTGTCGCGCGCGCGGCTCGGGCGCGCGAAATCGTGGCAGGCGCAGCACTTTGGAGATGCCGTTGCCGAAGTCGTGGCAGGCGCAGCATTCTGTGCATCTGAGCGTGTGTTTGCTTGGCAGGGGCAGCGTTTGGCAGCTGTCTAAATGGCAGCATTTGCAGCCGTGCCAGAACACATCATCGAGCCGCACTTCAGGACACCCCAGTCGAAAGATTCGGACGCGTGGATGATTTGGAATTTGCTTGCATCTGCGGTCGCGGGAGCGACCTATATACGCTTGTAGAACCAGCTGCAATGCAAAGAAGCCCGCAGAAATGGGGCTCCGCTCTTGGAAGGCTTTCGTCTTGAAGTACTTAGCGCCTTACAGCGCAGGATGCATGGGGCCAGGCTGGCAGATACATGCTGCACCTGACGCGTTGGCACTTCAAGCCATATGTTAAGCATATGCCGCTGACATATGCCATTGGCGATGCCAATGCGACCCCTCGATCTGCCAGAGCGAAAAACAAAGTGCTGAGAGTTTTCGACAGCTGACTGCGTGAAGGTTTTGCATGTGAGGGTCTTTGCATGTCTCGGATTTGGGATTATTCGCTGCTCGGCAGATGCAAGTGTCGCATACTTCAATAAGCATAGATTTGTGGGGTTATCCGGCCCTTTAATTTTAAGCAAGTTATATATTATTTATATTTATATTTATTAAATTAATTTTCAATGAATTAATATTTTATATAAATTCAGTAAGATAATATATTAAATAAATATTCTTCTATAAACCGGTACGGCTTCGAGGTCGCATTTCCCGTGCACTGGCAAGCCGTTGCAGCGGTACTCCGGCCGAATCGTAGTGCTTGCGGCAAGCGGCTATGCTTGTCCCGGTCTTTTCTCCGCGGCACAAGCTCCCGCCTCTTCGCGCGGCCCGGAAGGCCCCGAAATTTTGCCGAAATTTCGGGGTTCTTAACAACTTTGCTTTGAGTTCCCGCGGCGTAGCCCGGCCAAATTTTCCCGAATTTTGGGTCGCTTCCGGCGACGCGGCTCTTAGGTTTCCCGACGTTACCCCCGCAAATTTCTTCAGAATTTGGCGGCTTTCCGAAAAAATAATACCGGGCCAAATTTCGGGGAAATTTGGGGACCTGTCCGAGTCGAAATTTCTCGACAATTTCGTGCCGGGTGTCTCCGTATCTTCGCCTCTCTCTGTGTCTCCCAGTCTGTTTCCGTGTGTCCGTACCTATCTATTTCGTAATCTCTGTCTTTCTCTGTCTATCTTTGTGAATCTCTGCGTATCCCAATCTGTTTCTGTTTGGTGTTTGCGCCTCTCTGTCTCTATCTGTCTGTCTGTGTCTCTCTGTCTCTCGGGTTGTCTCGGTGTGTCTCTGTTTGTCTCTATGTGTCCGTGTCTGTCGTTCGTCTCTCTTTCTTTGCGTCTTTTTGTGTCTCTCTGTCTATTTCCGCGTGTCCGCGTCTGTCTGTTTGGTAATGTCTGTCTATCTCTGTCTCTGTCTTTATCTTTCTGTCTGTCTACGCTTGTTTCTGCGGGTCGGTTCACAAAGATGGCACACTTCCGCGTTGCCACATGCCGCATTGCAAGCTCCGCTTGCATCCTTTTGTTCTGTCTTTCTTTTCGTTTTTGATTGTGTCTACCATTGTT